TCCCACCACTGTCTGCCGTGTCACCAGGGGAAGATTGATTGACCTCCTCGACCGGCATGGCAGTGTTCTCATTGAAGGTAAACTGCGTGGTGCGCGAATCTCCGCTTCCGCCTTGCATCTTTGCGATGATGAGCTGATTGGTCCTTTGCGTCCTCAATCAATTGCTCAGAAGGCCCGGCTACCAGCACGCAGGTACCACTCTCCCGGCGGGAGAAGTGAGCCCTACGGCTGATAACCTGTGAACAAATGGATCCTTGTCCTGGATGTTATCTCAGACCTGTAGTACCCTTGCTACTGGTAGCCGACAAATGCCATGCGGAGTAACACGACGCATCCCTTTTCTCCATACGCTTGAGCCAATGTTTGGCGGTCACAGCATGTTGTTTTAACACTGCATGCTGTACATGTTGTTTCATCTCGTTCCCTTTAACATTCAACATATAACCGCATGGTTTATGCTCCTGATATGTGCCTTTTATTCCAGTATTAGAGTTAGTGGTTAGACATTCAAAATCACCATAGATTACAAAAGGACAAGGCAATTTAGTATTATGCTTTTCAAATTCTATATAAGTGTCTTTATCGGGCATCTTTGTTTGTTGTCCTTCTGATGCCATGCATCCTTTTTCAAGATGGTTCTTATATGCCTTCTCTGTTGAGAAAGGATTTAAACAATGATGGCAATACTGTTTTTTTACTATCATCCTTGTTGCTTTGACAGTTTAATAATCTGCTTTTGTTCCTAACCAAGGCGTAGTGATAATTATTGTCTTCATCATAGACCTTTAACAAATCAATCTCATACTTAGCATTTCTATTTTTAGTGCCTCTGTGTAATATGATTTTATTATCATTTAAGCAGTCATCAGGTTCAAAAACATTTATTGAAACTAATTTATTGTTTTCTTCAAATCTGTCTATGTCTCCATTACCAGTTGGAAAATTGACACCATCCCAGTTCAAAATATCATCTTTCAATTTATTATAGTGGAACATTTCCTCTGGGTGATGTTTGCTTATTTTGTCATAGACTACCGATTGAATACAATATCTAAAACATTTTTGGTCTTTGTTTTTAATGTTGATACATGCCTTTTTTAATTTAATCCATTCTGGTAGTTCTATGGATCTCCCTGCTCTTGTTGGGTCATATTTGTCATAATGAATGGTTATTGATAAAAACACAATTAAAGCGTAAATTAGAGGTTGATGCTTCTAAATTGTGTATTTGTAATAAGATTTGTTTAACACTATCTTCTAATGCGTGTGTCAGTTCATCTTCATTACTAATATTAAAGCGTGTTGAAGGTAAAGCTTATACAACTTCCTGACTGCCAATTTCATTTCCTCCATCATCATATTCAGGTTTTTCAAACAACCCTTCCGTTCTTATGTTAAGTTTCATGCTTCTATTTTTTTTAGAAATTCTAATAGTCTTTGTTTTTGGTGCGCAATCATTTCTAAACCTCTGTCCCCTTCAAAGTGTTTATTTTCTAAAACGATTGAATTAGCATATCTTCTAAATGCTGATTGAATATCTCTGACCCTGAATTTGTTTCTTATTGCGTGTTTAGTCAGGATTTGTTTTACTCTCCCTTCATTGAAAGCACCCTTTGCCTTGTTTAAAGCATAACTTCTGTATTCATTAGTTTTCTTTACTGATAATAATTTCTTTGTTAACACATGTGATATGGGTTTGTCTTTGTTGTATCTGAATTTCTTTTCATCTATTATTATTGACTTTAATTCTTTTCTTCCTCTTTTTGGTATTTCTGCTAAACCATTACTCCATAGATATCCATAGATAGTCTATAACTTTTTTCATCATATAATATTATATATTTTATTTAGTCAATTTATCTTTAAGTAGTTTTTTTTAAGAATGCCTTATAGAAGTATATTAGTAGGATGGATTGTGTGAAGGATTTTACCTGTTGATGTGTTGAGTAAAATTGCTTCTTATAAAATTGGAGACCCTAAATATTTGAAAACTAAGTATAATCATATTGAGGCATTAAAGAGAATACAAAACAAATATAAGATTTCAAGACTTGGTCCGAAAATAACAAGACATTTGAAATCAAGAAAAAAGATATATATAATTGAATACTGTATTGTGAGAGAGGGAGTGCCATTTAGTTTGAAAAGTATAGAAGACATAATAACAGAAGAACAAGAAGAATTATTATCTTTAATTTATGAAGAAGTAGAAGATGATTTAAATTATAGAGTTAAACTTGATATTGAGGGTCAATTAGTGGCAAAACTCCCAGAAAAGGAATTTGGAGAAAATGAATTTAGTTATAGAGAGATTTATTTTATGAATGACTTTGATGAAGTTTAGATGAAGACAATATAGATACAATATTAGAGAAAGCAGTTGAAGAAATACAGGAAGATATAGATGAAGACCGAGATAAAGATAGTATCATAGGAATACAAGCATTTCATTTTAAATTAATAATTATTGAAGACATTTACTACTAACATAATTCTAATAATGCTATGTATTAGATTTATGGATTATTAAGATAGGATTATTAAAGGTGAGGAAATTGTCTTTATTATGGTTTGTTGTTTGGTTTTTTTATGTTGATGTTTTTTTTGTTTTTGTTTTGGGTATGGAATGGATGAGGTCATGATGTGATTTTCTATGCACGAAAAATATCAAAAAATCTGAAAACAGATTTAAGAAAATGACTGTTTTAAGATACATGGATGATAAAACCTGTAAAACTTGTGAAAGAACTATGGACATTGATAATTTTGATGAAGGGTTAAAAACTTGTAAAATGTGTTTGTCAGATAAAAGAACCAGTTATCACAAACATAAACATAAACGAAATGAGGTTCAAAGAAAAAGATATGAAGAAGATGAGGAATATAGAAAAATGAAGCAGGACTATAATAACACATTTCAATCTAAAATTGTTAGTTGTTCTGTTTGTAATTGTTCAATGACCCAAGCAAATTACTATAAGCATAAGAAAACAGAGAAGCATCAAAGAAACTTAAATAATGGTCAGTAGTTAGGTTTTAATAAAAATGAATGAGGTAACTATGTATTGACTTTTATGTTTTATAGAAATGAAAGAGGTAATATATGGTTAGTAGTGATGATTTTGAAAAAATGAATGAGGTAATTATGCCTTGACTGTTTTTATTTTCATTATAGCTTTGATATTGTTGAAAAAATTAAGTAATCAACAATATTAAAAATCTGTGTTTAGACTGTTATAATTGAAATTAAAAAAAATCTATGAACTGTGGTTTTTTACATTTTTTCCCCACCCCACCCCACCGGTAACTGATCATGAATGAGCAGTGCCTGTGTCTGCTGGACAGCAAGAAAGATGATAAGGCTGCTGTGCCTGTGTGTGCACAGGAGCATGAACGTTATTACCCCGCTCCACCGCACCCCACCCCACCGGTAACTGATCATGAATGAGCAGCGCCTGTGTCTGCTGGACAGCAAGAAAGATAATGACGTTGACGAGCCCCACCCCATCCCCCGAAGGCTCTGTGTGCACAACTGAGAGACTTTCGTGCGCGCAAGTGAGTCAGAATCCTGTGTGCGCAGCTGAGTCAATTTTGTGTGCGCAAGTGAGTCGCCGTCCTTTATTTGTTTATATATATATTTAAATAATATACATAAATATATATACGCACTTGAACTTGAACCTGACATGGCAGCTAGCCTGGTGGCAGGATCGCCGTGAAGGAGGTGGCTTCGCGGGAAATCAGAGCCACAGTGTACCTACAGCGAGAAAAACTGAGAAAAATATATATTTGGATCAAATTGGATCAAAGATGATCAAAGGGAACTCCCTCGGAAATTGATTTCGATATGTCAATGCAACGGAAGCAACCAGTCGCTGCACAATATGCTGGGACGGATACAACATGGTTGGCCACCTCGAATTTGTGCGAAGATGTGCTTCCGGAGTGTTTTCATCGCTGATTGTTTGTCAGATTCAAACATTTGTCAGTACATCAGAAAACTCTCAGCGGCCCATATAGCATCATACAGTGTGAATCAAACCAGGTTCATTCATGAGCATTTTTACGATATGAAGGATAAAGATTCTGGGCTCCCTGTTTCCCTGGTGTTAGCAATGGGAAGTGGATGAATCTAGACATATCTGGACATATCTGGACATTCACGCATTCTACATCATTCTACCATGCTTGCCGTTGCTGGATTGCCGCAATTTCCAGGACGCCGCCAAGGTGGGGTAGAGAACATGGTGTCTCGATTTGAATTACGTTATTGCTGTATATTACTGTATAACTTTGTATATTACTGTATGATTTTGATGAATCACATAATAGTGCTTACTCCATCTTACTCCTAAAATCATGGCCTAATCTTGTAAGTTGTCAATTCACAAGTCATTGGAAAACCAATTTATGCATCTCCACACAAACGACACACTTTTAATCAGCACCGGCCATTTCATTGTCCAGACATGACATTCGAATGTCTCCGATAAATAAAGCTGGAGCATTGCACTGACATTCACGGTGGCAGAAGTAGCATAAGTGATGCATACTTAATGCATAAGTGGCATAAGTGGCATAACTGAACTCAGCTGCCAAGGACTGCTACAACTGCGGTCAGCTGGGCCACAGCTCTCGTGATTGCACTGAGCCTCGCAAGGTCATCCAAGTCATCAGCTGGTCTCGTGTTCAGTTCACTCGCTTCTGGAAGCCTATGGAAGTCTAATAGGATCTAATAGTAAGTCTAATGCCAATCCGATCAATCAGTGAGCACCATCTATCTTCACTATTCTTCACTGCAGTGCCCACTATGAAAGGATCCGGATGTCCTAGTATGATAAATGTGCATCCCCGTCATTCAAACTCACTATGTGCCGTGTAAGTCTATATACACTCTACAAGTGTAAAGTTGATATTATGACGATATTCAGACATGAACATGCATGCTGGTTTGGCTCAGATTCAGCTAGCTAGCATCTCCGAAGAGAGATTTGCTGGTCATGGCGAGTAAACAGCCGGGGCCCAAAAAGAAACTCAAATCAAAGCAATCGTCAAAAGCGCTGCAGAAAGTACCAACCGCTCCAGTTTTAGAAATAGAAGAGCTTTCGCCACGGCCACCACTTCTTACAGAAGACCTGGTCGATGTCATTGTTTACACGACCACAATGCGGAAACTTTGTACGATCAAAGCCTACCGTGGCTGGAGATTGTGTGATTTGAAGGATGGCATTTGGGCAGAATGTGGAATAGAACAAATTGCACAAAAACTGGTGGTTAGCGGACACAAAGAGATGTCAGAGAAAACTCTCCTAGCAGACTTTTTCCCTCCCTCAGTGCAGGGTGCAGCAGTGATTTTGCATAGAAGGTCGACTGAACAAGCTGAATGGCTGCAGAGGTGCCGAGAGTATGGCTTGCAACTCGAATTTGCACCACAAACGATTAAGGCAGACTATGAGGTGGTCATGGCCGCTGTCATGAAGAACCCAAAGGCAATCCAGTTTGCTGCTCCGGAGCTGCGGAGCAACAAGGAAATCATGCTGGTAGCAATCAAGCAGGATATTGACACTGCAGACTTTTTGGACCCGGGTGTGTGGCAGAACCGCGATTTTGTCATTCAGGCTGTCCGTGTAGACTGGCAGCTGTTGCGAATGGCTTGTGAGGAATTCCTCAGAGATCCAGAGATTGTTTTAGCCGCCATTGAAGGCAACTGGGATGCTGTCAGTGCCGCTGCTCCAGAAGCTTGGGAGTACATGCCAGTGCCACGTGCTGCTGCAGTCACTGGTGGATGGACGGTGCACAACGTGGCTCCTCATTATCTTCAGGCAAGACTGAGAGCCGACAAAGAATTTGCACTGCATTGTGTGCGCTTGGACTGGCGAAACTTAGAGAAAATTGATGAAAAGCTGCTAGCTGACTTTGACATAGCTTTGGCTGCAGTTCGTCAAGACTGGCGCGCACTGCGCTGGATACACAAAGATTTGCAAGCACATGAAGAAATTGTCACCGTCGCAGTTGAGCACAATTTCCTTTGTATTACCAAATCGCTCGACGAGCTGCCGATTGAACAACCTCTGGTGTTGAGAATTGTACAGCAGAACTGGGAGGCATTTGCCCATTTGAATGAAGAATTGAGATCGGACAAAGAGATAGCAAACGCGGCCATATCTCAGAACTGGCGGGCGTTGGAGTTTGCTGGCGAGGCGAGAAAGAACGATCCTGAGATCGTGGGCCTAGCTTGCAGACAAGATCCAAGAGCAGTCATGAAAGCACCACTGATGCTTGGCCACAAAGGTGTTATGTCAATTGTTGTGGCAGCTGACGGAATGCTTCTGGAGAAAGCATTTGAAGAAGTTAAGGAGGATCCAAGTATTGTAAAGATAGCTGTGCGGCAGAATTGGCAGGCCTTGCAGTTTGCCTCGGAGCCAGTCAGGGGAATGAAGGACGTCGTATTTCCCGCGCTGAAGAACGACCCTTCTCTGACCGTCATGGATTGGACGGCACCATCCTTACGGCGTGATCCAGCGGCAATGCTTGAATTCCTGCAGCACGACAAAGCGATATTTCCGTGGGTTGATGATGAGTTGATGGTCCATGAACGATTTATTTACAACGTGTCTCATGATTCCAAACTTGGGCGGAAGATCGTCATTCAGATGTGCAAGCGCAATTGGAAGTGCTTCGAGTATGTCCCAGACTTTTTGAAGGCGGATCCTGAGGTCATTCTCACCGCTGCTCAACAAGATTGGCACGCCATTGAGATTGCCGAAGATTTCTACGATTGCTGGATGCACCCCAAGATTGTGCTGGCTGCAGTCTCGCAGGACTACACGAATATTCGCAATGTCAACTCGACAATGTGGCTTTTATCGCAGCATGAAGACTTACACATACAATGTTGCAGTGTTGTTTTTCTCCTATTTACTTCTGTGATTTCTGTGTGAGGAAGATTGATGATAGGGGAAGATTGTGTTACGTGAGTGAGCTCACTAAACTTGACTGAACAACTTAATTAGACACCCTCTGCAATGCTTGCTGCAATGCCTCACAAAAACAAACAGAATACACGTCAAGAAATCATAGAAATCCTGATTTAGTGTTTCAGCACCATGTTCAGAGCTTTGAAACTTGGAAATACTTGGAATTAATAATAGATAGATTGTTCAAAATGCGTGCAGTTTTGACCAGACGAACACTTCATAGTCTCGCTACAGTACCAGTACCAACTGAGCAGGACTATCATTTTATTGGACACTGAAGCAGTTAAATTGAGAACATGCAAAGTGTTGAAGATCTTGTGGGTCGAAGAGTGCCGCGTGTGCCAAGCACATTGCTTTTTGTTGTTTGGTTCAGTTGTCTCAATGTTAGATTGCCTTGTGCGTTTGAAACTTCAGACCAAAGCTCAACCCAATGCATCGGTCCACGGCCTTCAAGAATCTCAATGGTAATGTAGGTAAAAAGCTGGCAACTACGTTTTGTATGCGTTGACAAACGTCAAATTCTCAACGCACAAATTCAATGCCAAAGACAAACGCCACAATAGCTGGGAAGATTTGAGTAACGTTGCTACTGGGGTTGTGAAACAGATTTACAGATTCTACAGATAATATCAATAATATCGTATAATATCAGATAACATCAAATAACGTTTGCATCATCCCTTTGGAATTTTTTGGACATTTGCCCACCTTGACTCAGGTGGGACAACTTGGAAATCGTTGTAGCCGCAGTAAGTCAAAACTGGAGGATCCTAGAGGAAGCTCCCGACTTTTTGATGCGGAGGCGTGGGGTGTGATGTTTGTGGGGAGGTCCATGGTCGGCAGGAAGACTTCAAATTGACACTTCAATCATACATAATCATACAATCTCTTACATTGTGGTTTTAGTTTTAACATGTTTTCAATTAATTGTATATATGTAAAATTTTGCCCGCCTTGGGTGACACAATTATTGCATGGCAACTTCAGAGTCCTGGGCCCCTACAACTCTTGGAAAACCAGGACCTTTCACAAGAGTCCTTCTTTGAAGGGTACCACAGGAACTGACAATCACAGCAACACAAATCGTGGTGTTTTGCTCTTTGTAAGCACCGGTATAGTATAATTGTATATAATTGTACATAATTATATAATTGTAGTATGTTGTAGTTCTAGTTTTTGCATCGTTTTACTGGGCTTTACATGGCTAAACTCTATTTTACTCGAACCGATCTTGCAAGGCTCTGGTCTGAAGAAGAGGTTGTGAGAGCAGCCGTGGAGCAGGTGCCTGGCGGTGTCTGATAACGACCTCACTGCGACGTCATTAGAATCATTAGAAATTATGTTAGCAAGGGGATGCATCCCTGAGTGATCATGTTTCAGGCCGGTGAATTGCTATGATAATTGTCTATATGTATATATATTTATTGCTATTTTATTTTATATGTTATATATATATATTATATATACACATTACAATATATATATGTATAAATATGTGTTATATTGTATGTGATATATTATGTATTTATATATGTATATGCACATTTTGTATGCATTATAAATATAAGTATATATATAATACATTATATTATATACATATACATAAGCAATATATATATATATGTTTATTATACATTTATGTTGTTTTTCTACAGGTATATATAATTTTATTTTATTTACATATATATATATACATATATATATATGTTATTTAATATACATATATATATATATGTAATATATACATTCATTTATATATATAGTATTTATATCACATATATATTTATAATATATATATATATATATATTTATATATTTATAATATATATACATATATATATATATATACGTCTTAAATATATATTATATTATATTATATATACTTCATATTTATATATATACACATATGTATTACTTATTTATATATATATATATGTAGTATTGTATATATATAATACTATATAAAAATGCAATTAAGTATTTTATATATATTTATCTATCTATCTATCTATCTATCTATCTATCTATCTATGTGTTTTTGTTTTCTCAATAGGTGATGCTAATATATGATGCAAATATATGTCTATAACGCTTGTATTTGTGTAGTATGTGTGTGTGTGTTTTTGTTCATTGATTGATATTTTTATTTGCAGCAACCCAGTTTGTGCATGTCACCCGGAGCGAGGCGTCACTTTCGTCATTCCTCTGCGCCAGGAACCTTCTGTCATAAAGAAAGCTGCAAAACCACTTTGGGGTGAGAGAAGTCTTGTGCTCAAGGCTGGGTCTAGGTCAAGCACTTGAAGTTCAGTGAGTTACTTTGGTTTGTCCATGTTCGTATTGCTATTCAACATATAGATACAAATACATGCACAAATGTGTGTATTTATAGGCATAAGAGCGCACTTCTAGAAAATTGAAACCCCGAGACTTTCTGGTTATTATGGAAATAAGTCATAGGTTGGAGTTACAGTATGTTTTGGCCAGAACGCCGTTCCCCATAGCGACTAAGCCTTGCAGGCCTACATTTTGTGAAATCATTGCGTGAAAAGCTCCCAATGATCAAATTTCTCATGAGCACAGAAAATGGCCAAGACCATTTGGCCCAAAATCAATTGATTGTAGCATTGTAGTTTCCCTGTTTTTGTATTCATGTGCGCACACATAAACAAATGATTAACACATATATATATGTGTATATATAAGGTTCATGGCTCCACATGCACTGCTCTCCCATATGTGTGCATTCAGCTTGCGCCATTTCATTTCAGGCCTGTCAAGGAGATTGGACGATCATGGAGAAATGTCCAAAGGAATTGGAGCGCATATATTGGAAAGACAAAGACTTTGTTGTTGCAGCACTCTCGCAGTCAATTGATGCTTTGAAGCTGGAACGCACTTGTTGGTGAAGTGAGGTTCCTTTCGATTTGGTCATTTGTTGTCATTTGGTCAAGTGTTTTGAAAGAAACTCGTCACTCACATCCCGGCCATTGGTGAAGGCCTCCTTTGAGCTGTGATATCTTGTGATTGCTGAGGAAAAAAGTTCCAGAGTCATACTGGGAGGACAAGGAGGTGATGCGTGTTGCTGTCAAGACCGATTACAAGGCCAGGCTATAGTAGCGGCTATAGGCTGTGGTAATTTCCCGGAACTGATAGCTAATGACGCCTCATTGTCGAACGTTCTTCAACATTCAGGCATGTCCACAGCAAACTAAACTATAATCGTATGCATATTGCATAGAGTTGCATAGTGCCTTGGCTTCAGTGAGCTGCGCTATAAACTCTTTATGTATTGGTGAGTAAGGGGACGGTCATAAGGTGGCTTCGCGTAAGCCAAAACTGCAGTGGCGTAAGAGCTGCGCAAGGTTTTTGGCTTTGAATGTTGTGCGTAAGCCTGCGTAAGGCATGCTTGAAAAGCACCTTTTGGCTAAAGAATGAAAGAAACATGAGGGTCAATATGCTTGGTCACGTTGATGACAGTCAAATGGAAGGGAAACCGAGCTCCAGATATTGCAGACTAGGCAAAACCAGTGTGGCCACGGTTCGGTTCAGTTTTACAGGAAGTCGGTTCGGTTCCTAAACGGTTCGGTTCCTATAGAAACCGGTTTTTCCGGTTCCACGGTTCCAATTTGTTCGGGTTGAGAAATGTTCATTGCTGCCACGAAACCAATTTTGAAAAAAAGAATGTGTTTTTTCGCGTAAGGAACGCGTAAGGTATGCGTAAGGAACGCGTAAGGCCCACCTGCTTTATCTGAACAGTTGCCCCATGGCCCCGAAACGTCGCCCCATGGCCCGAATGGCCCCGTAAGCCCCGAAAAGCAGGCTCGAAAGCGTCTCGAAAGCGTCGACCGCAACAGGCAACATTGAAAGCTGACGGTTCAGGCTCGTCCTCAACATCCTCTTCTTCAACATCTTCATCTTCGGATTCGACAAATGATGAATGACGCACTGAAATACTCTGTTGCAAAAAAGGCCGCGTAAGGAACGTGTCACGAAAAAAGATGACTTTGTGGTGACTTACTTTCGCGTAAGCCTTGCGTAAGCCCATAGAAAGCCCAGATCCCCGCGTAAGAGAAACCCCCCAATAGCGTAGGGATGCGCAAGCATGTGCGTAAGCATGTTCTTACGACCTAAGAATCTATCAAGGTTTCCAGCATGGCAGGTGAACTATAACTCGTTTTTGATCAGTGAAGAAAGAACCGCTGCAACACAGTAATTACAGCACATGACATTACAGACTGAAACCCATGGCAATCAAGGGAAGTTGCAAGGCTAAGGCAATGTTGCACCTGCCACCCTTCCCAACCTCCCGCCCACATAGTTGTAGTGGTTGCATGTGGTTGCTTTGTCGCATCCGGTGGTAAGCAAGGGCTGTTGGGAAAACCTTGGGTTGTTTCCTTTTGGTTCAAATGTAATGATGCCATGCCACAAGAATCAGGGCTGGGAATGTTGAAGATATGGTCGTATATTAACAAATTGTTTGCAATCATGGATTATGTGTACGAATATTATATAACTGTAATATCCACACAAGCGTCAATAGGAGTGCATATCCTCCTAGCATGTAGTGTGTTGTGTTGCAATGCCATGCATCGTAGCGCGGTAAACCGAGAGTGTTATGATATGCTTCTATACATGCCCCCTACCCACATGCGCACACACACACACAGACGGCAGACCGGCACAGTGCCATCCGGTGCACATGCATATAATGGTACGCACATCCCGGCGGCCGGAGACCATTTGGTTTCATACATGTCTATGCACACGCCACGCACCTGCCAATATGCAGATCAGATGCAGAGGCCTGTGTAGAACATAAGCCTTTGTCATGGAGATTGCTATGCCATTTCGTATTTTATCAATCGTCTCTATCAAAGCCACTGGCTTTGATAGTTTTGTTGATCTAAAGCAGCTGTTGGCTCTTTACCAAGGTGATCTACAAGTGCTCCAACTGGGCCCAGAAAACATTGTGGGAGGATCGGGAGATTGTTCTACATGCAGTGCAGCAGAATGGCCTTGTGCTGACAGAAGCAGATGAAGATTTCATCTACGACGTGGAGGTATTGCAGGCAGCTGTGAAGCAGAACTGGACTTTGCCACTCAACGGGAATTTGCTGTGACTCCAACGCTTTAAATGCCTTTATTATTTGCGTGGTTCTCTTTGTATCAGGTTGGGGGATAAGAGGCGTGAATCCTTCAGAACAATCCGTACAGTACCATTGAAATGCGCAACAGCACCTATCAGCCGCCATCATTTTTTCGGTTACAGTAGATTCCAACATGTTCCAAATCTATCAAAATCTGTATATAATATGTCATGTGTTTTCAAAGGCTCACCTGGGCCCTGGGCGAGAAGAATGCAAGATCATTTATTGACATATTGGCATATGCATTCAATCACATCCAGGTCTCAATCGGTTTCATAAATGCTCTTTTGGATCCTTTTGGCCTTTGTTTCATGTAGTAACCTTCAAAGGATCATACTTCAGTGAATGATTTGAATGTCAATTCTTTTGGGGTAAAGATTTTTGGGCGGAGTCTTGCAGCTGACTCAGCTGCTTGATGTCTCCATTTTGCGTGTGAAGGTTGGATAACCTTTCCAAAGTTCACAAGCAAGTGGCCTGGAACGATGAAACATGCGCCCGATCTGCCATTATTGATGGTTCCACCGCAGTCGTAGCAGACCCCAGCAATTTTGCTAAAGTTGGTCCCAAATTGAAATCGAACAAAGACTTTGTTATCGAAGTGGTGAGCCTCGCCGGAAAATGTTTGGAATTTGCTCCAGAAAAACTGAAAGACGATGAAGATGTGGTGCGGGCCGCCATTCAGTCAAAGGCGTCAAAGGGACTTGCCATCCAATTTGCATCCGAGCGGCTGCGCGCAGATTTTCAGATGGCACAGCTGGCTGTTCAGCAAGACCCAGGGGCTATACAGTTTGTTGACGAGAGCCTTCGACAGGGTCATGTGCTGGTAGATCCCTCTTCGAGCAGTTGATCAGTACCAGCGTGCCTGCTTGTATATCCCTAAAATTTGGCTGTTGGTAAATTGTCTTTGAACGCTTCATGTTTTTTACAATTGTGAGTCAGTGCTGTGCATTGCCACAGCTATTGTGAATTCGCTGCACTCCCTGCATTTGCTCGTCAAAGATGAAGCCGGTGTAGGAAATGCAAATGCCCAGACCCAAAGTACCGCGTAAAGCTAAATGGCAAACGGCGCTGGATGATTTGAAGTGAGATTCTGTAACGTACTTAATTACTGTACATCGTATTACGTCTATATAGCTGCTTCACCCAAAGATGCCATAGGTGCAAAGTAGGTTCAGTTTGCGTGCAAAGTTGGACGGCTCTCAGTGCTGGCACGATTTGGCACCATTGTTTTCCATGCCTTTTCGATGCAGGAGAAGGGAAAAGGCCGTGGCAAAGGCTACAAGAATCGCGAAGAACAGCAATGTCAGGGCTTCAAGGGAGGGTTGCCAATGAAAGGAAGTGACCCAGCTAGGAACAGCAGCTAGTGCAATGGTCCCAGAGGGCGGTTCTTCAGGTCTGAGATTTTGCTCTGCTGAATGGCTTGATTTTTTGTTATAAATTTTCAAGCTGGCCCTATCGCAAGATCCGCAAGGAAAGAAAGCACCGAAAAAAAGTGGTTTTCAGGTTTCATCACATTCCTTTCTTTCCAGCTCATGTATACATCCTTCAAAGCTACTCGTACTGGACCAAGTTGCGATCCTAATATATATATATATAAGATTTATGATATATTATATATACAGGCCGCAGTTCCACGCTGATGAAAGCAACATGACTACAGATGCAGATGTTAGCTCAGGTAGTTCTGCGGTAGACGGAGATGTTTGTTTCCCCAAAGTGAATACATCAATATTGTTTCACACAAATGATGTGCAGATGGTGTGTTAGGAGCAGCCTTGCTGCCTTTATCAAATGCTGAGGTATGCTGAGGTATTCCTGATGTGTTGAACGTCCTCCTTCCCTTTTTTGATTTTTGTTTTGTCATTTCTCTTTCTTAGCTTCAGAAAATCATGCAGGTGGCTGAGGCGTATTGGCCACTTTCTTTTCGCAGGTTTCAACTGCAAGCAATACGGCCATCGTTCTCGTGACTGTCCAGAGCCACCAGATGAGGCAAGGATTCTCTTGGAAGAGATATATAGGCAAGTGAAGATGTATCAAGGAAGGCCCCAGGTAAGAATCAAGCTTGTTATAGCTTGTTATAGTTTGTTATAGTTTGTTATAGTTTGTTATAGTTTGTTATAGCTTGTCAGCATCAGCGCTTCGAGGATCGAGGGATTTCCCCAAAGGATGTCTTAAAATGTCTTAAAGATGTTCACACTCACTGACAGGTTCATCCACTCGTTCTATCTCGTTCGTTGTCTCGTTAGTTGTCTCGTTCTGTTAAAACTGAGTCCAGGAGCTCGTTCGTGAGCGCTTAGCTGCCAGGGCGGAGAAGGCCTGCTGGACACGGAACACAACGTGCACCCATCTGGTTACATCTGGTTACTTAAGATTAATTAATTACATATTAATAGTTCCATTGCAGTGACATGTTGCATATAATTTGTATATATATATGTATGTATGTACATAAGTAGTTGTTTATATACAGTACCAGTGATATCAGGTTATTACATTATGTGGTTATTACATTATGTACTTAAGGCACGAAATCATGCCAAATAACATGCAAGTTTGATAGTGTGTTAAGTTATAATGATTAAATAATGGATTATAATGATACGTATTATGTTGATGAACGAATTACATATTTTACATTGTTTAACTATGATATGATGACTCTTGGGCACATATTTACGCATCACAGCATGCGGCCATCATACGTGAAGTGGCGTGTGCGCTCGGTCTGACATGGACATGTCCATGTGCAAGCATGATTCAAGGAGAGAGAAGCACGCGGCGAATAGAGGCCCTGGGGGCCCTGGAGCTTGAGTGCAGAGCCACAAATGTTGGAGTTGGTGTAGTCAATTCATGTCAATTCTTGGTTTTGTGACCTCTCTCTCTCTGTATGTGCTGTGTGCTGCTTGAGTCTTGCGACTTCTCCATTCTGAGAGAGGCCTGCTGCCGACGGTGAGAGAAACGAGTTGCCATCTCCAACTTGTGGACGTGGCGACTACCAAAAGTGAGAAGCCGGGGGTTGGTCCATGACCAGTCTTACAGCATTTCAGGAGACTTGTGCATGCTGTGTATTCAATGTCAATCGGAGGATTTTTGAGGATGTTTGTCGGCGCTGAGTCCTCAACAATTGAACAAGTTCACTTTGATTTTCAATTCATGACTCCTTCATGCGTGGCACTTTGTCAATGGTCTCTTGTTAGTGATGCAAGTCTCGCTTGCGGAGCCCCTGCTTTGGCACTTGGCCCGTCGTCATGGAAAGGAAAGGATCAAAGCCAGCCGGTATGTGAGCCCGGAGAAATTCCAAATCCGGCAAGTCCATAGGTTCGAGAACGGTCGAGACTTGAGACAGTTTTCAAAGCAAGGCCTTTCCAACTCGAAGAAAATATGTCGGCGGGCATTGCTCCCATTTGTTTTGTGAACGAAAGCCTTGCGGCAGTTGACAACCAGGGCACTCTAAGACCCCTAGGGCTAGTGCCTAGAGACAACCAACCCATGGAGTGGAAAATGCTGGTGATGCGGGTGCTCCTATGAAGTGACAAGATAGATCAAAGCATGTTCTAATTGCATCGATGATCTCATTAATATAGATGATCTGAGGTGATGTGTGATCATTTGTTGGGGGTTTCGATTGTGCATTCACGACTTCACTGGAAGAACAAGTTCATCAAGTTCGCATAACAGCAGGACATGAATTTTCCAGATACGCCTTTGGATTGCAGGCTGTTCAGCGCAGTGGTTCTTGCAAAGTAGCTGAAGTGAGGAACTCTCCATACCCTTCATAGAACAAGGGTCGCCGCCAGGTGCCTACACCTCTCAATGGCATCAGATACGCTGCTTCGCAGGAGCAAACAATAAAAGTGAAGTGGGTGCTGGGCGCATTGAATTTGCAATGCCAAGTTATATATATATAGTGTGGTGATGGCATGTGATGGCTCTAGACAGATGCGTAGGACATGAATGTGTATATATATATATATATCGATGTGGTATACGGTATACAACGATTACAGTATCATATGTCATCATGCGCAGGAGAAACCAACCTTCTCTAGGGCGACGACTCCACAAGTGAGAACACCACAGGCACCCCTTGGCAGCGACTTGGATGAAAGTTCTGAAGGGAAGAGATGCGAAGAGGCCATGACGCATCATGACATTGTCAGACATTGTCACAGGCATTTTCTTGCACTCAGGGCATTCTGGATGGGACCTTGATACGCCGAAAGGCCGCTATTCGCAGAGTCCCTCACAGGTGCGGACAAGTTTCAAGAAAGAGTTTGGCAGTGTGTATGAGGGGCCCTTCGTTTCTGCCATGTATTTATATAGTATTTGCTATTGCTATTGTCGCTTCGCATCCCCTTTTCCTTGCTTGGCCATCAACCATTTTGGCCCAAAACCTGTCCAGCCGTTGTTGCTAGCATTTGTTCCACATCAACCTGCTTTCAGGGCACATACAAGGTGTGGCTTTCGTGTTGGAAGGGAAGAGCTACGTTGCCATTTCGGCAGTGTGCGGTGCCGTTGTGATTTTGCTAGAAAGAGTTACGCAAAATGTTGCGAGTTATGGGGAGTCGATAAACAAATTGAACACTTTGGACTGCTTGCAGTTTTTGAGGTGTGCCTCCCTAAGAAAGACCCATGGACAGCTCTGATTTGGTCGGCGAGCCTGCCTTGAAGCGTGCGAGGCTCCGGGAGTCACAGACAGAGTCTGCCATCGTCGGATGCTCTCCCATGTTGTCCCACTATGTTGTCCCTCCATGTTTTTTTCCCATATTCTTCCCGATACCATATCTTAGGAGATCTCAGGAACGGAAAAACAGAATGATCAGCTCCAGGAACGGATTGCAGACCACAGGATACCACAGGTTCTGGATGTGGCTCGGTTGGGTCAACCACGCCCTCGCCCACAAATTCAAGGCCCGAAACCCGTTTTGGTGCAGGCATGATGCCACAGAGCGATCTCCTGCGGGCATCCCTTTTCCAGTCACTCAGCTACGATCAGCTGCATGTCAGTGCTACGAATTGCTACGATGTGGCAAGATCAAAATTAGTTGCTGTATGTTGCTGTGCTGTAACTTCGGTGCTGTTAGGACACGTTGGAATGAATGCCTGCTTGTGTTCCAGTCAGAAACCCAAGAATTTTGCTGCATCTCAGGATATAACCGGACTTTGGGCTGCCTCTTGGTCAGAAGTAACCGTAAATTTCATTGCAGAACCTCAGTCAGTGGACCTCAGACATGACGTTTTTTGAGAGGTCAAGCCATGTCAAGCCATACGTTCAAATCGTTCAACGCTGTTCACATTTGGCTGTTCCCAGCTGGAGGTCAGCGTTCCTGATGACCGATGCTACTTATTTCGATGGCGTCAAGCAGCTGATGCAAGGCACTGATGAATTCTGATGAATTGATTTGTTTTGGTATTTTATATAGGGCAAATTGATGCAAATTGCATATAGTTTTATAATATTTTATAATAATGTTAATACAGTGCAGAATAATTATATATACAATTATATATATATATATGAATGTGTGTGTGTGTTAATCATAACTATATTATTATGTAATTAACATATTTGATTTTATTTGCATTGCCACAGTCACAGCCGCCATTCTCTTAGTGTCAACTTTATGTTTTCTGACGTGGTGTGATGGCGGATAATGTGCCGTGGAGTTCTTCGATGATATCATTATAATATGTTATGAGATAGCTTGCGGCACCCCAACCAAGTGTATGAACATGCTGTATCAACTCTTGACTGCTCAGCTGCAGGAGATTTGAAGGAATCCAGCTAGGCGTCGGTGAAATAAGACACGGCTATGTCACTCGATCTGGGGTGGTGAGATGGTGCTCTGATGGCAAAAAATGGCAGGGACAATTGGATCCCACAGGCCCGCTACCTTGAGCTTTTGCAAGATGTGCTTGTTTGTTTTGGCACGTTTGTGTTTCCACATAAACATATCCCATCATCATATCCCCCTGAAATTGTTTGAATCCTGCCTTTGCAGGATGGTGCATCAGAGATGGGTGTTGCTTGAGCATTGCCTGTGGTGATTTGGGGAACTTTGCCGCTATGCGGCAGAGGGAAACAGATCCGATGGCGCCACTGGATCTTTGTACCGACAGGCCTGCGCCTAGATTTCGCCCTGAACGATCTGAAATAAGCTCCCAGGTTCTGCAGCGACAGAATGCTTTTAAACATTTTTAAACCTGTGCTTATAAAAGTATATAAAAGTTATATAAATTTATGAAGTCTCTTACAGTCTCTTATAGTTGAGGCCAAATGCGTACATAGCTGTGATATATATATATATAGCTGCTATATGCTGCTATAGCATGCTATAGCTGCGTATAGTCGAGTCAATTCGAGTCAATGATAGTACAAAGCATCGTATGCAACGACAAGCAGTATGACCGATGCACGCAAGGGACAGCATTCATGGTTTGCAATTGGCAAGGCAGCAGGCTTGAACAAAATTGTCACCTACTGATAGGCATCGCATCCCTTTTGCACCAACATGAAGGCAACTGCGTGTTCACCAGACCGACCAACAGTATGACTGACCAATGCTATTGTGCATCGTACTGTGGACGATCCCCTGCCAGTAGCAAATTAGAAAGCTCCTTATCCTAAGTAATTCCTGCGGCGCTGGGCCAAGCTTGCTGTTGATTTACTCACGAAATGAACTTGCACCTGTTTGGTTTCAGATTGCGGGGGTCATTGCCAAATTAGGGTATAGAATCGCGATGAGAGGCTGAGTCAGGGTCACTGTCATTCGAGTTTTTTTGTTTGTTACTTTGTGTTGGGTGCCCTGCTGTAGTTACAAGACGCTGTTTGGCCTCTCTGGATTCATTTGGTTTTCTCTTCGAAATTACATGTGGAGGTGCGTGTTCAGGGCATGTACTGTATCCGACGCTGTGCTGCAGTGTTTGGCATCTTCTTCTAGATAGAAGTAGTGAATTGTGTTTGGGGATTGCACTAAGTAGTGAAATGTGCTTCCATTTTCTGCCTTTGGCAGCTGCATTTTATTTGATGTCTGAGCGGAACTGGCTTTCAATGTAGAATTGACTCAATGACTGTACGTACTGACTGCAATAGATGATTCATGAATCATTATTCCACATGGGCGAGGTCGAGGAAAGAGTTTCAAGACTGGGCGGATGGCCTTTTCTTTTCCTTGGATCGAGAGGGCAAGGAGCAGTTGCTGGATGCCGATGGTCAACAGGCGTGCATCATCATGCAGCGCACCTGACATCGGTTTCATCGAAATATTCAAAATGACATCAGTACATTTTATATTGTTTTATTTATATATGTTTATGCACTTGGAAACAGTATGTTGCAAGGTCATGATGGAATGGGAGAAGCCGTATGTGGAGAAATGCGCGGAAGAACTGAAGGTGACACCTGTACCTTGGCTCTTTTTTTGAGTTTATGCGCAGTATAAACCAGCATATAGTGTGTGTATATAAGTATATATATAATTATATGTATATATACCAGTAGGAGTTGTGCTGTTGCACCCATGTCTCCCCAAGGACTGTGATGTTCTGGAGATTGGTTTTGGCTGTGGGTACAGCGCGAGCCGTATCCAAGATTTCAAGCCGCGATCTCACACAATCATTGAATGCTGCTCGACAAGGGATATCAGAATCTCATTGACAGCTACTTCGTGATGCGGTGGTGGCGTGCAGTTGCTAAACGTGACGAGTAATTGCAGAAGATGAACACGGATGAACCTAAATGATCCTAAATGAACGTGAGTGGATGATCGCAAATCTTAAAGGTAATTTATGGTAATTTACTGATGTGACTTTGCCGCAATTGCCAGAGCAACAGGGTCTTGAGATGTCTTGAGATGTCTTGAGTTTGCTTAGTCAAAAGTTGCAGGCTCGGAGGTTGTACTCGAGCGACTGCAGCAGTGGGCTGCAACGAGGCCTAAGGTGCGAGTCAAAAGTCACGTCAATGTCTCATTGGCCCCTTCTTAACCCTGGAAGCATGTTATTCTTTGGGCTGTCCATTGGCTGAGGCATGAGTTAGATTTCAAGCTCAGAATCATCGATGCCTTTTTGGCTTAAGACGGATGAGTGAGACCTAACGGTGTGGTCGGACCATGCGCCGCGCCAGGACCTCGCCACAAGGTTTCCTCTTGTGAGGGACACAAAAGGATGTGTCCAGGGTTCTACCCCGATGGTTGCCGCATCTCAAATGTGCGATAGCCAACCTGATGAAATGTTGCCACTATGGCTCCAAGAGACTATGGTGCCTGGCAGCACCGCGGCACCTCCAGTGGCACCTGCAGTGCATAGAAGCCAGGCGGGCACGCAGAGAGACCGAGGAAATAGAGAGAGCCAAGCTTGTCGGTTGGCTCTCTCCATTTCCTCGATCTCTCTGCGTGCCCGACGCAGTCGGATTGCCTCAAGCTCGACGCGGCGAAGGGTGAACTCTATGCTGTGCATCTCTTCACCCTGCAGCTTGGACCGGCGCGCCTTTGCAAGCTGGAACGCAGCAGTCTTCCTTCTCTTGTCTACCAGCTTTGCCTCCTCCTCGCCGACAGCGAATCACCCAAAAAAAACCGACAGTTTTGAGGATTTGGACAAGTGTCGACAGGCACTACTGGACTACTCACGTTTGAACCCTGAAGAACCCAGACGTGTCAGAGCAAGGTTCGTGGCCAGTGATGGACGTGGATCTCTGTAAATTAGCCATGGCAATGCAGCCGCATAGTGCACAGGTGGCTGCTTGTTTTTCAGGGCCATTTGAGCTTGGCCCCAGATTTCAAGAGATTTCTCTTGTGGCTTGGACTAAGGGACGCCAACCAGAAACAAAACACCAACGGACCAGAAGGACCCAGAAGGGTTCTTGGAGGATGGATACTGTGTGTACAAGTGTGTTGTAATTTTTGCATTGTGGCCCCCAGGGCGTTAAGATTTGTGCGATTCGAATCAGTTTTTTAGGGAAATAATGGTCAAAAGCTTGCGTCCTATGAAACTGTTGAGTGCACCGTTAGACCAACTGTTAGATTTTGTGAGGTGCAAATCATTTCTGGCACCTGGCAGCAGCGCTTGCCTGAATTGGGTATGCTGGACCCTGAGAACATTCGATCTCACCTTGGTACAGCCTGGAGCCGTGACATTGTGTGCTTGAGCCTTTGTTTCCCCCAGGTTTGACTGCATCTTCTTTGACGACTATGGCCAACCGGGCATTTCAGACAGGGATGCTGGACTCAGCTAAGTCAACACATTCCTGAACCCGAGTAAGGTGATACTGATCTTCAACCCCTGGCAAAATGTGCTGATTTAACATTGTTATAACAAAATTGAGATCACTTCAAAATGTCGAACGTTGTGGAAGGGAAAAAAACGGCACTTCCAAGGCCTTCTGCGCGCACAAAGAAACAATATCAAAATATTTGATAATCCTATATACTCCTGCCAGGAGTCTGGAATTGCTAAGCCACGAGTCTTGAATATACGTATAGTTGTTTTCTCCAAAATGTTTATGACCGGGGGAGGTTCAGGCAACATCAACCGAATTTGTCATTGTCATAATCCAAGGCCACAAAATTCAAACCATATATATCCATATACAATTATATAAATGGGTTTTACCCCTCATACGCTTCCACAAACACAAGTTAATTAGATCGCAAATGCCAGTAAACAGACGAACTGGCAGCATTCTAAGACTAAGATATTTTTTCTGCCCACCCATCAATGTTCCAACATGTCTCCAGCACTCCTGCACTTGTTTTCAGGCCTTGGCGCCTGAACTCTTCCCAATTTTAGACTGGATCCAGCCAAATTGGACTGAAAGGTAAGCTAAACTCGAAATAACCTTAAGGCTGCTTAAGGATGCTTAAGGGTGAAATTTCAGCCTGAGACCCGTCCACAGTTGGAGTAGTGTATTGTTGTTGGTTGCATGATTTTTTTGCTACTTCGCCGTTGCTCAGGAAATGCTGATAAACTGCCCAAATGAGCGGTACAAGCAGATTTATGCTCAGTCACCAACTCATTTCCACGCGCTACTTGCCTTGATATCAGCTCCGCCGCGAAGTGTCATATTTTCCCAATGATTTCAGTTTTTTCGAACTTTGTCCGTCAGCATCAGCAGATTGTGTTGGTTGGGCATGAATTTCTCACTGCTTCATGGATGCAACATGTTTCACATGCAGGTTCCTGGAAATCGCCCTGCAGTATCATTCTCGCCCCTTTGCTTGCATCGAAGATACCAAGGATTCTTAAGTCTTAAACTTTCACATGTTTTTCCTATACCTATATATTTCATCCTCCTTGCCATTTTCTCCACAGATCGAGGGGGGTTGGGGTGCTTATATGGCATAATTTTATGGGAAGTGTTGGCCTTATATGGGGTCGAGCATGCCATTTTGTAGTAATTTGTGGGTTTTACATGGTTTTATAATTTTTATTTTGAAGGCAGGATCATTTATGGGCACCAAGACAAACCATTTTGTAACAAACAAAAAGCCATTTTGTAGATGTTTTTAAGGGTATGATTTGGTGCTTTTAAAACATGTGAGTTAGTCATTGACAGAGAAAAATCAGCTAGCCATTCTGTAGAGAAACCATCGTTTCAATAAATGTACCATTCTGTAAGTGCATATTTGTGCTTGCAATGGTTGGCTCGGAAACACTTTAGGACATTTCAATTTCCCCGCCGTCCCAGTAACCCACCATGTTGGCACTCGCATGCTTGGTGCTGATCGCACAGCATGTTGGTGCTGTGAAAGATGACACGGCTACATGTACTCCTGAGGACAATCCAACAACCCCCACAACACACCACCCACAACATCCACACGACGACAACCTGATGGAACATATGACAAGAAACCCCTAGACCCCAAATACTTTCAAAATCCCCCTTGACATTTCATGGGTGAGGTTGGGAGGGGGAGCATTTTGTAGTGAACCACCCCTTTTCTCTGCAAAATGGCTCCAGTACACAGTCTCCATCCTACAAAATGGTCTGTCTATAACCCATGGGGGTATGTTTTTTCTAGAAAATTGTTAGGCCTGCTGCCTAGAGTCGACCATTTTCTAGACTGGTGTAGGTCTGAAGATAGACCCTGTTTTTATGATTGTGTTGAAAAGAGCAGTGGCAAAGAATTGTGATTGAATTTGTTCCTTCTGGATCCTTCTGGATCTTCTCGGATTCTTCAGCCTTATCCAAACTTCGATACCGATTGTTCCCTGCGAGATCTGTGTCAAAATAGCATTCTTCTCCTGATCTTCGTTTTTGCTCTGGGACCGTTTTGTGACTGGAACATACTGGAACCGGAAAAAGTTTCCATCTTCAGAAGGATTGCCAGCACATTGTTGGCAAAAAAATAGAAATAAAAATATTCATGCTGCAAAAGTTGCATGAAAAAATGGATCCACCTCCGAAAAGGAGAAGTGAAGACGACTAGAGGGTAAAAACCCTACAAAATGGCACTGGGAAAAAAGGCAGTTGACGCTGAGGTCTTGACAAGATAGAGGCTCTACAAAATGGCTCTGGGATTTTTATATGTTTTATAAAATCATGAACGCACTGGTTTGATCATTTTTTGACTAAATTGTCAAAATATTTGTGGATCAAAACAGGTGACAGGCACTACCATTTTGTAGAGCCATGGGTTACAGACAGACCATTTTGTAGGATGGAGACTGTGTACCAGAACCATTTTGTAGAGACAGGGGTTGGTTCACTACAAAATGGGGCCCCCCAACCCCCCCCCAGGGAATGGGAAGGAGGATTATATTTCATATTTTCCGTGGATTAGGTAACTTAGACTGGTGGACTGAGAGTCCTACATTCGCAAGGCGTCAGAGTTATTATTTGCTCAAAGCTGGGCACTGCTTTCCTACCAAGGCCAAGGCACTCGAATTTCGGGTTACCTTGTGCCTCAGCAAACCAGACGTCCAGAATGTGGGTAGTTACCGGTAGTGTATGGGTAGTGTGATGCAGTGTGTCTGTTGCTGTGTGTTTGTGTTTGCATGTGCCATCATGTGCCTGCATTTTTGCGAACGCTTGTGCGAAAGAGCAGCTTTGCCCTTAAGGTGAGCCCCATTGTGGTTGACAGGGATGATGTTGCAATCACGTATGGATCTATCAACGTTCACCCACCAGCCCACTGCAACTACTACTTTCGTGACTGTCTCAGTTTGGGATAGTTGGCGGTGCCACCAATTTGTCACAATATCAAATATGGCAGAACAAATAGAGAAACGTGCCCTGAAACAAGTGGCTGCTTCAATCAGCAGTCATGGCACCTCATGGCATTCGCATGCCTTTGCCATGTGGAGCAAGGTGATGAGGCGGTGGTTCCTATTTTCGCTAAGCGCCTTGGGCAGCATGGTTTGGCATGATTTGGTGCCGTGCTGGAAACCTGTTTTGAAGATGTGTCGACGGTGGGCAGTGAATACATTGAATGCAGTGATGATTTCATGTGATGACTGGATTGAAGTGGTGCATTTGCAAACCGTGCAAACCTTGCAAACCGTGCAAGCCGTGCAAGCCGTGCAAGCCATGCTTCCGTTTGTCACACTGGAATTGCGCTGAGGACTGAGATCTCGCAGGTCAGTGAGGCTAGCACTCGGAGCCCCAGTCCTGAAGATTGCACGGAGCAGTAAGGCCAGGTCCTGCGACTGCGATGACCAGCACACATGGGAAGTATATATGGAAGTATATGAAAGTCTATCAATTTATTATATTTTTGTAATTGTATATAGATGTACATAGATGTATTTAGATGTATATAGATGTATATAGCAAATGGATGTACATCGTCTATCTATATACACATCGTGTTACAATGTGTTACACATTTGTGATATCTGCATACACAAGCTACATTGCGGCTACGTGAAGGATCTGAAAAGGGAAGCTTGTCTTGTCAGCTTGTGTACATGTTGTGTCATGCTGTGTCATGTCGTCCATTGTTGTCCCTAGCTTGTGCTTCCTGCAAGGCCTGCTCCCAACGTTGAAAGGAGGTATTCTGCCCCAGACAGAGCTTGCCTCCGCACGATATCTTTTGTAATGGTCGAGACAGAGACAGGAATTGGCAGGCAGGATGAGGCCATATCAGGTCATGAAAGATTTACAGTCTTTTGGGTATTGACATTTAAGTGGGAGATGGCGTAACCATGCACACTTCCAAAAGCCGTTTGGTTGATGCCTCCAGCATCCACATGTTTGCTAGTGTTGGACACAATTACAGATTCCTGATGATTCCTGGAACAGTTGTGCTGCAGTTTTTTAAGCTCCCACTTCCAGAATCTTTCCGCCAGATTGTTTGCAAGCTGGTCAAGCATGTGCAAGGAGAACAGCCCAGGGCCTTAAAACGATTATATACCATTCAATAGTACCCGCACGAGGCGGGGCGGAAGTTGCCTTACAGTTATACTATAAGACCTTTCTCATCTATAGAACTTGCATGTGCCATGCGCCAGCCAGGCCCGTGCGTGCGTGCTTTGTGCGAAGCTGTTGCGATGTTGTTGTCCAAGAACATGACCTGCGCGCGACCTGGGCGCAATGCAACCAAAAGCGAACACGTTCCTCACGTTTCACACTGCACTCTTCACACCCCGCCCCGCACTTCACACTTCACACTTGCACTTCACCAAAGCTTGCAAAAAGCACATCCCAGTACTACTTCGTACTACAAAGCTTGCACACAGGACATCCCACTACTACTTTGTACCACAAAGCTTGCACGAAGCACGTCCCAGGACTACTTTGTGCTGCAAAGCTTGCACAAAGCACGTCCGAGTATTACTTTGCACTACATAGCTTTGTACTACAAAGCTTCCACAAAGTACGTCCCAGCAATACTTTGTGCTACAAGGCTTGCACAAAGTACGTCCCAGTCCTTCTTTGTCGAAGGAAGTTTAGAAGTCAAACTTCCGACAATATGGAGAGATGAAAAAGCAGTCAGCAGGGAGAAGAGTCAGAAGAGAAAAGATCAGAAGAAAGAAGATGCAGGCGCGCGAAAAGGTAGGAAAGTCGCGAAACATTGTGTTTTTATGTTTTTTTCGTGGTTTTGTGGCTCCGGAGGGTCGAAAAGTAGGCTCGCTAAAGCGGCGGGTGCGGAGACATCTGGGGAGAGGAGAGATGAAAAGTTGCACGCCGTTGTGGCGCGAAGCCGATTTCGAAGTGAAAAGCTACAAAGCACCTCAGCGCCGGACCACTTTTGGAAGTTGAGATGTTGAAAAAGTGCATGGCGTTGTGGCGCGAAGCACATTTGGAAGTAAAATGTGTTAAAAACTGAGGGGTTCGGAGCAGTTTGGGAAGTTGAGATGACGAAAAAGTGCACGGCATTGTGGCGCGAAGCACATTTGGAAGTAAAAAGTGTTAAAAACTGGCGGTCTCGGAGCACTTTTGGAAGTTGAGATGTCGAAAAAGTGCACGGCGTTGTGGCGCGAAGGACATTTCGAAGTCAAAAGTGTTAAAAACTGAGGGTCTCGGAGACATTTTGGACGTTCAGACATCGTTTTGTGTGGCAGGTGGAGCGGATTGTGCATCTACTGAAAAGTGACTAAAACGTGAGGGTTTTGTGGCATTTTCAAAAACGATGGCAGGCGTGGGAGATTTGAAGAGGATCTGCACAGATGCATTTTTCGTGGCAGGCGCAGTACAAGAGGCATCTTCAGCAGAGATGTTCGGAGCTCAAGGAGCTGATTTCCTGAGAGGGGTTGCATTTTGGCGTATCAAATCATCAGCTATGCCAAGATGCTTTTTCGTGACAGGTGCAGCATTTCGTATGGCCTGGACTAACTTTTTTGTGGCAGGCGCAGTACTTTAGAGACATGGCATGGAAAAATCGCAAAATGCATTGGTGCGAGGCCGTCAGCTGTACAGTCAACTTTCCATTTTTGAAGGAAGTCTCGCAGAATTCTTTCGTTTTTGATGTCTTGAACTTCGAAAAATGAGGAAGTCTCGCAGAATTGCTTCGTTTCGGATGTTGTCAAGTTCAAAAAATGAAGACGTCTGGCAGAATTGTTCTGTTTTGGACGTTGTTATGTTCAAACATTAAGGAAGTCTCGCAGAATTTCTTCGTTTTTGATCTTGCAGATAGATAGATAGATAGATAGAGAGATAGAGAGATAGAGAGATAGAGAGATAGAATTAGATAGATAGATAGAGAGATAGAATTAGATAGATAGAATTAGATAGATAGAATTAGATAGATAGAATTAGATAGAAAGAATTAGATAGAATTAGATAGATAGGATTAGATAGGTAGAATTAGATAGATAGAATTAGATAGATAGAATTAGATAGATAGATATAGATAGAAATAAATAGAGTATACATATAGATAGATATAGATAGATATAGATAGAAATAAATAGAGTATACATATAGATATAGATATAGATAGATATAGATATAGATAGATATAGATATAGATAGATATAGATATAGATAGATATAGATATAGCTATAGATATAGATATAGCTATAGATATAGATAGATATAGATAGATAGATAGATAGAGAGATAGACAGATAGATAGATGGAAAGATAGATAGATAGAAAGATAGATAGATAGATAGATACATAGAAGATAGGTTGGTAGGTGGGTAGATAGTTAGAGAAAGAGGTAGAGAGAAAGAGAGGAGACCTCAAGCACCTTTCGGTCCATCAGTGGATTCGCTCTGCCATCCCTGATTCACAACAACCAAGCTCTCCTATAGGTTTCCTATTTTTGAAACTTCCGCCACCGCCTTGTGCGGTACTACTGATACTACAAAGAAAGCTTGCACAAAGTACGTCCCAGTACTACTTTGTACCACAAAGCTTGCACAAAGCACGTCCCACTACTACTTTGTACTACAAAGCTTGCACAAATCACGAAACAGTATTTCTTTGTACTACAAGGCTTGCACAAATGACTTCCCAGTACTGCTTCGTACTACAAAGCTTGCACAAAGCACGTCCCACTACTACACAAAGTGCTTCCCAGCACCACGTCCATGCAGCCATTACAATGCGATCTGCAACCACGGATTCCAAAACACCCTAGCACTATGCACACACAACGAACCAAGCATTGCAAAACACCATCAAGGAACCAATCACACACCAAAACGAACGGACCACACCTGCGGCGCACACGGGGTACCTTTCATCGCCGGCCGAAGCCACTTTACACAGAAAAACGCAAGGTTTCGTGCTCCGGTTTCATCCCCACCCTTCATGAATGTATTGTTATGTGATGTACAGTGTCACACCGCCCTTCATGAATGTATTGTTATGTGATGTAAAGTCTCACACCGCCCTTCATGAATGTATTGTTATGTGATGTAAAGTCTCACACCGCCCTTCATGTGAATGTATTGTTATGTGATGTACAGTGTCACACCGCCCTTCATGAACATGAATGTATTGTTATGTGATGTAAAGTCTCACACCGCCCTTCATGTGAATGTATTGTTATGTGATGTACAGTGTCACACCGCCCTTCATGAACATGAATGTATTGTTATGTGATGTAAAGTCTCACACCGCCCTTCATGTGAATGTATTGTTATGTGATGTACAGTGTCACACCGCCCTTCATGAATGTATTGTTATGTGATGTAAAGTCTCACACCGCCCTTCATGAATGTATTGTTATGTGATGTACAGCGTCACACCGCCCTTCATGAATGTATTTCATTGAATGTATTGTTATGTGATGTGTACAGTGTCACACCGCCCTTCATGAATGTATTGTTATGTGATGTAAAGTCTCACACCGCCCTTCATGTGAATGTATTGTTATGTGATGTACAGTGTCACACCGCCCTTCATGAATGTATTGTTATGTGATGTAAAGTCTCACACCGCCCTTCATGAATGTATTGTTATGTGATGTAAAGTCTCACACCGCCCTTCATGTGAATGTATTGTTATGTGATGTACAGTGTCACACCGCCCTTCATGAACATGAATGTATTGTTATGTGATGTAAAGTCTCACACCGCCCTTCATGTGAATGTATTGTTATGTGATGTACAGTGTCACACCGCCCTTCATGAATGTATTGTTATGTGATGTAAAGTCTCACACCGCCCTTCATGTGAATGTATTGTTATGTGATGTACAGTGTCACACCGCCCTTCATGAATGTATTGTTATGTGATGTAGTTCACACCGCCCTTATGTGATGTATTGTTATGTGATGTCTCACACCGCCCTTCTTCACACCGCCCTTGTGAATGTATTGTTATGTGATGTGATGTAAAGCTTCACACCACCCTTCATTGAGTAAAAACCATCCGTAACTCGGAAGTTTGCGTCCCAACTTCCTGTGATAACTATTCATGGCACAGCTGCTGTATCATGCTGTATGTGTTTATAAATAATTTAAATAAATATATATCATTTTATTTATTTATTTATTTATTATTGTTAAATGTTATATAATTAGTGTGCATTCATTTTTTTAGTGGGCCAAATCTGGAAAATGATGAACTTTGCAGGGCGTCAGCCATATTATCCTTGGCTTGCCAGCAGCCAAATCTGTAGCCAGGCAGATTTCTGAAAGCACAATGATGTGAATTTGGACTTGCATTGCATTTGAAGGGCAGCTGCATGATTGCCTCAAGTTTTTAATTGGACCCAGTGGTGGTGCACTTCGAGATCACACTCGTACTGGCTGTCGGCCAATGTTGCATTGAACCTGGGTCTACCCTCCTTGTTTCCGTGGAAGGGATGTGCAAAGAAAATGGGAGAGAAACCGTGATGAAGCAGTGGCAAACAAAAGAGACAATGGGAATGTAGAACAAGTGTGCAGGTGAAATAACATGACCCCAATATGAGCCAATCCATCACTTAGGCAAGACTGAGCACTTTCTTGGGCTTCTCGGGAGAACATTCAATAACTATGGACTGTGTATATACCACCAGCAACTTTGTCCTTGCAAAATCTTGCAAACTGAGACCCAAGACAGACCACCCCCAACTGTCGACGTGCATTGGAATCTTAGGTCAAGTTAGCATCTTATGTATTGTACATACCATACAACGGCTTGCCTGCTTGAGTCAACCATTTGGACCGACTTTGTCTCTGCAATTTGCCGTGCTTCAGGTCGACATTTGGGTGGTTTCAAATGTACAGTCCGATGCCGATTGCGAAGCAGATACTCTCAGCCATATTTGCGATTAGTTTTGGGCTTTCACGGCATTTTCATCACTTTCAAAAAAATCAAAAAATCCAAGCGTTCGCCAGAAGGGCTGCACCTCGACAGAGGGCTGCCTGAGATTAGATTTGTGAAGCATTGACGTGCACAAAAGCGGCGTCGTCAAAGGTCACCACCTCAAGCGTGGGATGTGTAGGGCCGGGATGTGATCACATATACAAAAATGATCATAATTATATGCCATATGAAGCAATATAATTATGATCCATGATTATATGCCATATCCAATAATGTGAGATTAGATAGAGAGACTGATATGATCATGGATCGAGGTGGTGTCCAATGGTTTGTGACAGGCTCGACACTATGCTACACGCAGCTCTCCAGGATGGAACGGGGTAGGAGAGCTTCACAAGAGTAAGATCAGATAGCCCAGACTGAAGCTGGGAAAGGCCAACTTCCCCACATGCGTTTTGACGGTTGGTTTTACTCATTTTACTCACATGAGGATGTGTAGCGTCGCACCTGATTAAATTGTGTATACGATATACCAATCACCTTTGTGTGTCTCAGGTTCAGGATGACATTTAATGGAACTTTGCATTCTTGAGCATCGCTAGGCATCATATCTTTGGCCGCTGCAGCCTGCGTTGCAACGCAGCAGCTGCAGGCACAGGAAGCCAGGGTCACCATGGGCCACCAGGTAACAAATGACGCCACAAACAAATTTGGACATCTTGAAAAATCTTGACAGGCTGCTGAAGTTTTGGAGAAAGCGCGGCAACTCTCTGTCCCCTCTGGGCCACCCAAGAATAGTTGGCCCGGCACCTGGTGTCAAGCCAACAAATCTCAGGCCCCAGATTTGGAGACAATATCTGCGGTCTCTAGGTCTTGGTACCGATGGGAATCGTTTTTACCAAAAAAAAATAGCCAACTGGCTGCTAACATTTCGCGTGCAGAATGCATACTGACGACATTTGACAAGTAAAATATGCTCCAAACTCGGAGGAAGGGAGAGAATCCAAAGAGTTCATGCTGAGATGATGTTCCAGAACATCAAAAATATGGTGGTTAAGTGACAGTTGAGTTTAGCATGTGTTTGTTTATATATATACATATACACACACATATATATATATATATACGTCATCAGTTCTGAGCCTGGTCGCTCTTCATGCACAGCCCGCGTCGCTTGTGGCATGAGTCGTTTGGCAGTTGAGCATCCAACTCATTTTTGAGGTATCAAGCTCATGGCGGTGGCACTACCCCAATCCAGGGACAGGGACCAACAGGCCACCAGAGAAACTCCAAGAGACATGTTAGGGAACAGGTACACTCACTCACCGACATTTGAGCGACATTGAGCGACATTGTAATTCATGCCCCGTTGTCATAAATTCAACCCGAAGTAGCAAACTTGTTCAAATGGGTTGAGCTCTCCATCATTGTGAAATGCCATGAGTGCGCCCTTCAGGTGCGACGCCTCCAAGAGAACGGGCGCTTAGGCAGCTGCAAGCTGTGCTCAGATGTAGTGATTCTATGATCAAGACAGTTTGGACCTCGTGCTTTGGTATTGGCATGTGCATGCCTCAGGATTTGCTTAGCATCACCACAGCCGCTGCATGCCGCTGCCATGTTCTGAAATGTTCTGCGTGTGTACGTGGCCATTTCAGGCTATTGCTGGCTTAATCACCTTTTTCTGGCCTAATCAACACTCGAGCTTCCGGCCAAAAGCCAACGAAGCACTAGAGGGGAGAGAGCCTGCCTGCGGCCTTCACAGGTGACTTTTGCTCGCCACTTGTATTTCTCAAATATTCAACACCTAAATCCTAAGCACATCTAAGTCATCTAAACACATCTAAACACCTATTTCATCCTATTGCTACGTACTTTACATTACAAGCTGCTGTTTTTTGAAGCAGGCTGCTCCCCTGTACAGTAGGACCCAGGTGAGAGCCATGGCCGTGAATCAGATGCCAACACCAAGCGCTTTAAAATGGTCGCTCTACGTTGAACGGTACATAACGGTACCCAATTTTTCTCTCCAGGCTTTACAGGAGCAATGCCCCGTGGTAGAATAAGGTAGAATAAATAAAACATAATGAAACGTGATAAAAACTTGACAAAAAGTGATACATGGTTGAAAGTTCTGGGTTGGATTTACAACATCTCCTGGCGGACCATAGCTGACCATCTCGTTTTCTCGGGTTTTCCTGTTGGATCCTGGCATCAGGTGCTCTAAGCTTTCAACCGCCTAGCCGAGGCCGGATGCCGTGCAGGAGTCCTGGCTGCTGTGTCCAAAGAGGCCCAGTGGGAGAAACTGAGACTTTTTGTCTCTTCCTGTTTTCAGAAACGAGGGAGAAACATGTCAAAGCCCATCTAGACATCAGACTGTCCCAGAGTAAACTAAGAGCAAGGCAAATGGATATTGTGGGTGGTTTCCTGCACAAAGATGGTCCATTTGCACTCCTGCGCGTGGTATGACTCAGTGGGCAAGACCTGAGAATGAGCTGTTCTCAAGTTCCCCTTGTGTGCTTTGTTCATTACTGACTACTTCTTCCTGCGGAACAATCGCATTATCGACTGTACCATTTGAGCATTTTTTCCAATAATTCAGATCCCGATAGATGGAGGATAGCATCCAGACAGAAACCAAACCAAAGCCAAAGCATTTGCAGCTGGTGGAAGGACACACACTTGGCCTTCGTCGGCACCTGGGCTGCAGCTCGAAAGGCTTCTACCATTTTCATTCATTTTCCACTCCTGACATCTCCTGACTATAAACCCGTCATGACATGTCAGTGAAATGCACCATCAGTCAGGCAGGATCTGCCAATGTGCTGGTGCTTCTGTGTTATCTTCCGTTGATTGTGGAACATTGTGGAACTTTCGCTGATGCCTTTACTGAGGACTGTGAAAATGAGTTCGCAGTGTTTGGTCAAGCGACACAGTGGACAGGAGACTGCTCAGGCGAGATTACGGGTCTAGAAAGGTTTGGAACTGTTTAGATTCAGATTTTAGATGAGCTTTGAATAGGTTTTTACATAATGTAGTTTAGTTAGATTTGTGTTAGCATCAGTTATATATATATATATAGCATTTTCACATATTTCGCAAAGTCTTCTCTTACAGATAAAGCCAGGCCATGCAGACGTTGAAGCCCGATTGGATGTTGTTTAGTTACATTGTTGATGTTATTTATTAGTTTATGTTGTTTATTGCGTGCTCAACATTAGAACAATTTAGAAGCCATATAAGATTACAAGAGCCTGAGGTAGCCTGGGCTTCACTGACATTCCGGCCCGGCCCGAAACAAGTTTTCACCGCAGCAATACTGCAAAGTGTGTGTGTATTACATGCAGCTTTGATAAGCGGCTTCTCTGCCAAATGCCCTGCAGGCGTTGACGACTGCAAGCAAGAAATTCCAGAAGAGCCGGCCATGTGCGACAAGGGAGTCGGGAAGTCCATGGAATCTTCGGCTGAAATCATACTTCGAGGATCTTCGAGGCTTTTGCCAGCTATTGCCAACAACTGTAAGTGGGCCAATTTTCTTGTGCAATGGTCCGTCGGATTTGGGCAAGGGGCCCTGTTGATCACCCGAGGAAGAGCTTATGGAAGAAAATGCCAAGTTCAAGCAGCTTTCAGATACGCAACAGCAACTGATTGTGGCTGCCTCAGGAAATCACATCGCATCACATCGCACTGCATGTTTTGTTAATTCTGTTGCTGACATTTCTTATCACAGCTGTTGAACACATATATGGATATGAGTCTAATCCCTTCCCCCTAATACTAAAGCCCCACCCCCCAAATAATGAACATCGAACACCTCAGGTAGTTTTTATTGTTGCTAGTAGGAGGTATTTATTATTAGGGTGCGAAGCTTCCCCGTAATACTATTGTCCCGGCAAGCGACCCCAAACAGTGTGAGGGGGAGCAAAAGGACAATGTAGTATAATGTTGATGATGATGTTAATTAATGTGGATGATGATGGTAATGAATGTTGATGATGATGTTGATGATGATGGTGATGTTGATGATGGTGATGATGGTGATGATTATGATGATGATGATGAGGAGGAGGAGGAGGATGAGGATGAGAGGAAGATGATGTTGATGTGGAGGAGGAAGAAGAGGAGGATGTTAAGGAGGAAGACCGATCCCAAGACCGGGAAGCACACTTTGCGCGAGCCTGCGCAAGCGAAATGCAGATGGACATTGCACAAGAGCTATTTTGTATGGAAAGTTGGAGGGAAAATGTCCGCGAACACCTCCGGGGACATTGTTGTGTGCGAGCTTGCGCAGTCGAAATGCACATAGACATGTGACAAGAGGCATTTTGCGCAGTAATTTACAAGGAAAATGCTGGACCCATATCCCGCGACACCCGTTTTGTGCGAGCCTGCGCAATCGAAATGCACATGGACATGTCACAAGAGGCATTTGTGCGGAAATTTACAGGGAAAATGCCGGACGCTGCCGATACCACCTCGATTGAACACCGGGCCTTACCGTAAGAACCCTTCAGTGTGGCCACGCTGTTTGGGGAAATTTGAAACCCTAAATTAAAATTATTTTTGTATTTCAAAAATCGATTTGTTTGTTTTAATCTAATTCAAATATTCCCAAAAATTGGATTTCGAAGCTTCCCCTCCTACTAAATTTAAAGCCCTAATATAACAAACTATTTTTCCTATTTCAAAATTGATTGGATTTCCGTGTAAAATTTAATTGCAATATTGCCCAAAATTAGATTTCCAAGCTTCCCCCTAATATTTAATTGAAAACCTTAATATAACTTTTTTTCGACCTTAAAGGACGGACCCTACTAAAAAACACCCCGGGGCTGACTAGTTTTTATATTAGAGGGTGAAACCCTGAAATGGTAGCTTCATGTTTAAATTGTTTTCTAACGTGGATCGGGTCAATTAAAAATCCAATTGGCCAACCTCAAATTTTCCAAATTGGAGACGGGCCCTAGTTTTTATTATTTGGGGGGTTTAGTTCAGGATGGCGAAGACCAGCCCTAGATCAGTAGGGTTTTAGATCAGTAGCGTTTTTAGCATTCCCCAAAAGTCGGAAAGAAGATGTTTCCTGCATTTTTTTGAAACATGTGAGAAAATTTGGGATAGGCAAACTTTCTTGAAGGAACCGCTTGCCACTTGACCACGTGCCTCTTGCAAACCCCCTTGTTCAACATTTTCTCTGTGCCACTTGCGACATCACCACTGGCATTTGGGAGACTATCACTTTGTACTTGGTTTGAATGTTGATGTTTTGCTGGTCAGTGACACTTGTGGGCAGTGTAAGTAAAACCACACCCAAAATTGATACAGAAACATTTCAAAAGTTTTCACACTTGCTGAGGCGCACAAAAAGGGGAACTAGACCGGTAGGGTTTTTCAGAAAGGGCCCTCCCAGAGCCTGGTTGGACCCATATGTTTCTCAAAAATACCCGGATTTGTCTCAAAAATACCCGGTGTTTTCTCAAAATGTTCCATTTTTTCCTCGGAAGGTCCACGTGGCAAAAGAAAGGGCGAATACTAAAGTTAAAGGAAGGATGCCACAAAGAAAAACTCAAAAATACCAGGTTTTTTTTCAAAATAGCCGGATTTTCTCAAAATGCTTCATTTTTTTTGGAATGTTCAATTTTTCTCAAAATGTTCATTGTGTCCTGAAAGGGTTCCCAAAATAAAAACTCTCACATTCTCAAAATTTCTGGGCTAACGCAGATTTTTTCCAAACAAATCTCAAACATGTTTAAAAAATCTTCGGCCAGCCCAAGAAATGTCCCCAAAAAACAAAAAGCAATTATATTTTCAGAATTTTTGGCCTCCAGAGAACTTGTTTATTTTACATAACATCATATGTATATATATATATTATGTTGATGTTGATGTTGTTGATGTTGTTGTTGTTGTTGTTGTTGTTGTTGTTGCGCGTGCTGTTGTTGGTGTTGTTGTTGTTGTTGTTGTTGTTGTTGTTGCTGTCGTTGTCGTTGTAGTTGTTAGTTGTTAGTTGTTAGTTGCTGTAGTTGCTGTAGTTGCTGTAGTTGCTGTAGTTGCTGTAGTTGTTGTAGTTGTTGTAGTTGTTAGTTGTTAGTTGTTAGTTGTGTGTCTTTTCGTGGCGCGACCTTGCACTGACTGGATTGTATTACTTGTCAATCCTGATCTTTGCCTCACAGGGCTCAAAAGCAATTTGCAGCAACTTACTCTTAGCACTTGATCACTTGATAACTTCAAACTCTTTTACCTGCCCAAACTTTCTCGAAGGTCTCAGAAAACTTCAGTTTTTTTTCAGAAAACATGTTGTTTCTGACTTTTGGGGAACCAGGGCAATACTAAAGCTCTTATACGGATTTTCCCAGCAAAAATCAAAACAAACTGATCTAGACCCTACTGATATAGGGTTGATCTTTGCTTTTGCTTCCCTGATGAGTAACAGGGGGAAGGGATTATCCTTGTGCTCGTTCTGGCTGCAAGAGTGATAGCATTGAAGCAGTTGTCCTCATGTTTTCATCCTCATGACAGTTGTCAGCTGCAGCACCAGCGGGGGAAGCAGAAATAATGCTAATTATTTTTCAATGAAGCAATGAAAAACATGTTTTCTGATGATTCAGCACGGGTAGGTACATATGACATTTTCTATGGGTACTGTACGGTACGATGGGTACGGAGTCTTGGTCCTGGTACGCTGGTACGGTCTCTGAGTATACGAGGGGTACGGAACGGTCGGTATGGTACGGTGGGTACGGAGTCTTGGTACGTTGGTATTGGTCTCTTGGTACGGTGGGTATACGGTACAGTCGGTATGGTACGGTGGGTACGGAGTCTTGGTAGCTGGTATTGGTCTCTTGGTACGGTGGGTACGGTACAGTCGGTATGGTACGGTGGGTACGGAGTCTTGGTACGCTGGTATTGGTCTCTTGGTACGGTGGGTATACGGTACAGTCGGTATGGTACGGTGGGTACGGAGTCTTGGTAGCTGGTATTGGTCTCTTGGTACGGTGGGTACGGTACTGTCGGTATGGTACGGTGGGTACGGAGTCTTGGTACGCTGGTATTGGTCTCTTGGTACGGTGGGTACGGTACGGTCGGTATGGTACGGTGGGTACGGTGGTATGGTATGGTCGGTGGTATGGTGCGGTAGTATGTTAGGTGGGTACGATGGGTACGGTACGGTGGGCACGGTGGGTACAATGGGTACAGTGCGGTGGGTACGACGGGTCCATTCATTGGCAAAGTGTGTGTGTGTGGGGGTTTGACTTGATGATGCTAAAGTTGCAGCAACATGTGTTTGATTTCTTAAACAATAGAAGTGACAAAATACGGCAAAAAGGTAGTTGTACATAATATTACTTCAACTATCTTAATCTAGCTGATCTCCCGAGATGGAGAGAGAAATCCTGATCTATTTTGTGTAAATTGTTGTAATATATCGATATGTAATAACATGTAATACAATGAATTCTATATGTATATATATATATATATACACAGTACATGTGTCAATGTAGATGTGTGTAGAATGTCAGAATGTCCTGTTTGCCTGTTTGGCCGATTTTGGCCGTCCATTCCTCCAGGCAACTCTGCAGGCTCAACTGCGAGCGCAAGAGGTCGACACGGAGAGTCTAAGGCAACTAGCAGCTTGGCAGGCCACCGGACAAGGATGACAAAGGGTTTCAACTTGAAGCAACCTCGAGCAACCTGAAGCAACCTGACGCAACCTGACGCAACCTGAAGCAACCTGAAGCAACCTGAAGCACTTGCACTGCGCACATTGCACACTTCTGCATTTAAACGTTGGGAAAAGATGCCAAAGATTATATATATAAAGATAGTTCCAGGGAGTGCATGTAGTGTCTTCATGCAGCCACAGCACTTGGCAGGAAAAGGCAATGATCTCAATGAGAGACCAGGTTCAAACTCAATCATCTTCTGAGGATGAGAAGAGGCTACGTGCTGCTCGTAGGTCGTTCATTGATCTGGAGTTAAGATGCATGAAGGATGGCAAATTATTGTAGTTTCAGCATGTATTGAGGCTCTTAAGGTGTTGGGAAGCCTCGTAACATCTCGTAACAGAACAGCCAAGAAAGTACCCTCTATTGAGTGCCACCCAATGCCCGTAACAGTCAGTTACCGAATTTGTGGATGCAGCATGATGCCGCACTGTTTGATAAGATTTAGATGGATTTAGTGTGTATGATTCGGTCGGGTTCTTTAGGTGGTTCAGTGTGCAGTGCTTGCTGTGTTGACCTCGATGCATCTGATTTTGATCTTTGATGACTTCTTTGCCCGATGTTTTGAATGTTTTCCTTCTCTCTTAGGCTTCATGATCTTCATGTTTGGCACTCCAATCATATGCAGGTATTTGCCATGAGCATTGCAGCACATTTCTGCATGCGTTCATCCAGAAGCGCCTCCTTTTGGAAGGCAGACGCACCAAGTCTGCTCAGTCCTTTCGCACAGGTGGCGGAATGCATCTAATGGCGATGTAGAAGAAGACGGACGCGACCGCAAGGAGACTGCAACTTGCCAAGCTATCCACGGCGCTATATGTGTTCAATACACGGTGCACTTTCTTGGCTGAAGATATCTGCTATTTATTGCTATTTTGCCGAAACGGTTTACTTGGACATTTGAGCCAAGTTGATGGGGTATGTTTTTCGCGGGTCCGACCATTTTTGCCAGCATAATTTGATTTGGCTGCATGCAGCAAAAATCAGCTAGTACTGGTACATTTGGTTCCAGGATGTTTGGATATTTTTTGTATTTTTTTCAGGAAACGTGTAGCCGCGCCGCGGATGGCTTATCAGGGTCCACCACCTTTGTGATATTTTGTCATAACTTTAACTTTCCACATTTTTCCACCATTTTCCAACAGGATTTGTATGGTCATGATTTGTCAGGAAATGTGTGCGGCCTTCTGAACAAACCTCAGGTACACCAGGTACACACAGTGCATGCTGCAAAAAATGGGACTCCGAAGTCTCTTGACAAGCTGAAATCCAAGCTGGCAAAGATGAGCACGGAGACCACACTCTACAGAGAGCAGGTGCCAGAAAAATCCAGACATGCTTTGCTAATTTTGCTAGACAACTAGTTAGTCACTAGTTAGTTTCACGTACTGTCCCTATTTGACACTTTGACAATATAATTACTTTTATCATTTTATCTTATTCTTTCTCCTGCCCCTACACAGCTTCATGATTATATAATAATTATTATATACTGCAATTATCATGATTGGGCCGGAAACTGCTGTTCAGAAATTTGGAGGGCATGATTTGAGAGGCAGATGCTCATGCAATGACAGCACTTGCCACAGCGGTGCGAGCGGGGTGGAAGGCAGGAAGCAATTGCACAGTGTCAGATTGTGTCAGATTCACAAGCAGATCAAACACTTTCTCAAGCAGTTTCGTAGGCAGTTTCTCAAATAGCTGCTCAAGGGTGTCCAAATGTACCAGGCTGCATGCGTTCTCCCGCACGACAGCACCTTGCCATCGCAGACCTCTGTGAGTCCAGCGGACAGAACAGAATTTAGCTTTGTCAGCAGCTCAGTGGAAATGCAGGTGGAAGATGGTGGAAGTGAGAAATTAAAGATGATTTAAAATACTTAAAGACATCCAAAGATCTCTATCTTTCTTTTGCAACTTACTACCGTGGAAGGTTGAATGGCTCTTTACGAGATCACTGGTACGACATCGACAAGCTAAAGATCCGTCACTTTGGTGCCCAGTCCCGCGAGTCAAAGTCTTGCATGTAGAAAAGATTGAAAACAGGACAGCGGCAGAAGACAATCACTTGGCATTCACAGCTTCACGATGCTTCACGTAGGTTCATCCGTAGGTTCATCTGTTCTGCAAACGTTGTTGTTGCATGTTATTGCATAATATTGCATATTTTGAAGCTATGGCAGAATTGCTTATGTCCGAATTCTCGCAAGGACCTTTTTGAAACGGTATGTTCAGCGGCGTGAGGAATTGTTTGAGGAGAGGGCAGGCCACAGTTGCGATCCTTTGCGAGACATCAAGACTTGGATTGGAAAGTCAATGACAGTTCGGCGTTCAATCGAGGAAGTCTGCCGCTGTTCAGATTCTGGAGTGAACCTGAATGAGGTGCTTCTCTTCCACGGTTCCACACACGGAAAGATCAATGGAATCTTGAATTCTGGCTTTGATCCCCGCTATGCGGGCCTAGGCACTGGTGCTATGTTTGGTCAAGGAAGCTATTTCGCACACAACGCATCAAAGTGCTTTCGCTATGCGGGTGATGATGGATTTCGAACTTCGTCTGAGACTGGTGGTTTGCGTCAGTGTGTTCTCTTGGTGAGGGCTTTTCTTGGCAACCCACATTACCAGGAGCACATGTGCCCAGACAGACGCATGCCTCCAGCGAACACCCATTCCGTAGTTGCTTTGACCAAAGCAGAAGGGGGATGTGTGGATCATCGGGAGTATGTTTTGTACGAGAAGGCTGCCATTCTGCCACTTTACATCATTGAGTTTGAGCATTTACCTGACTGTGAATGCCTTGTGTGCTGCGCGTGATTGGCATGCACTTGCCAACTCGTAGATTGAAAAGGCCAGGTTTGCGGGCTAGTGAATTTACCAGTGATGTCAGCAACAATCTAATATCATCTATAAATATTTATATATATCTATATATCTAATATCATTTAAATCAGATACAATTAAATTCTGTATGCAACTGTATGTATAAAAATATTATTATATATATACTACGGATGTGTTTTGCTGATATTTGATGATATTTGCCTAATAAAGGTTCATGACATTTTTCTGTCACTTTTCGGCTGCTTGTTGTGCCTTTGCAACACTGGATTGGAACACTTGTTGCTAGACTCTGCTAGACTCGGAGAGGCTGAAAGCACTTCCTGGCCCTTGGCGCCTGCAAGGTGAACGGCAATTTTGTGCATAGACTAGCTGCGCGCTCTGAGCAAAGCCAGTCTTCGAATTCAGTGCACCACTTGCAAAGCATAGTGGGCCAATGCGACGCATTTATACCGTAGGCCAGGGGCAAACAATGGCAAACATCCCGGCCTGATCCCACCAGCCCACAGCCTGTCACTTTTGTATACTTTTGTCACTTTGTGACCAGGATGTACCAGGACTACATTGGATATTGGTGATATTGCAAGTCCTTGTTGTGGGCAGAGAATATGCTCATGCATTCATTTTACTCCCCCTTTGTGGCGAAGTCAAGCTCCATAGCTACAAGATCTCAACGTGCAACCTGGCACAACAAGTTTCCCACTGTCGTGTATTTTCATATATGTCATGTATTTTCGACATTCAACCAGACCAGCCTGGAGAGCATAAGTCATACTATGAAAAACATAGCCGCATAGCCATTAGGCTTGCACAGCATTCCAGGGCGTGCTATCATAGGTTATGGCCTTCAATCTCAGATGCTGAACCTGGCCAGGGCAAACACCTCAATCCTTTGATAGATTTTGATCGTGGAATGACAAACCCTCACAGGTGTGCCATGGTGTGCCATGGTGTGCCTCATTATCCACCACAGGGGCGTGGCAGTTGCGGTAACCCCAACTTGGTGAAGAGATTCCACAACTGCAATGGTCCACATCTCTTCATGCCATTTCCTATGCATGATACGGTACGCATGAGTTGCATGATATGCCCAACCAAAACTTGCAATTGAACATTATTGGAACTTTGTTCTTCTAGACGCAGTTGTTGGTAGAGGGGAAGCTGGGAAGCTGCAGAGCAGCAGAGCAGAAGGGCTGGTGGATCGAGCTTTTGGGCAAGTCAGAAGAGCGTTCCACTGCAATGTTATTTTTCTGGCTTTGGGCACCTTGGCAGCAACATGAGAAGGACATAGAAGGACATTCGGATTCACAAATGCAGCCATGGCATATCATGGCATTCTGTTGCCCGGACATTTGGGGGTGTTTTACCAGCTGAGGCATGTGGCTTGCGTGATGTGTGAGGCTCCTGATCGGCAAACTTGCTGGAGATATACAGCACTTTGGAGCTCGCCTCAGAGAGCCTTGCCTCCAATTCGGCCAGAGCTTAGCCCGCTTAGCCGACCTCCACTTGTTCTCCTCCCACGGCCAAGAGACCGCTGGGATGAGTCAAGTAATGCAGCGTTTTGCTATAAGTTGAGTGTTGAGGCTGACATGTAAGAAAATGTAAGAAATATTGTTCTCAGACTGTCCACAATTTGTGCCACATGACCAAAACTAGACAAGTTTCGCACAGGCAATATAGGCAATGGATGGCAATGGTAGACCTGCGGTGCAACTGATTCCTTTTAGCAGAATGCGGCTGACTTAGCAAACCGCTTAGTTTGAACCGTATGGACTTGTCACTATACAGTAGTTGTCCAGCCAGCTTGTTTCGAGACGATCAGATCTCCAGGTATTTGGAGCGTCTCTTAGCTTGATGGCAGTCCCTTCGGTCAACACTGTAACGCAGAACATGATCCATCAAAACTCAATAAAATACATGACGTTTATTCAGGACATCACACTCATTGGGTAGAACATGGTCGTAGAACAAGTGTCATCTCACCAGTTGAATTCAAAACTAAATCAATGCCGGCCGGAAGGCTTGAACAATTTCGGACCCACAGCAACCGGTTGCTGTATGCCATCACTTTCAAACACACCGGTATCATTTTCTTGGCCTTTAGATTACTTTAGATATTGATATGAGGGATTTTGTATTTTGTGGAGTGTCTCGCGTGAGGACGATATTATTGCTGTGGACATATTCTATCTAATATTAGTCTATAATAGTCATAGCTATAGTATAGTGGGCTAGCGCGCGGGTGCCGCCGACCCCCTTTATTGGGGGCGGCGAGAAGCATAGTACTTGTATCGGAGTGGGCGAATTGTGGCGTTAAGAGGGTATATACCGGGAACGGCATGCGCACAGTTGCCCGGTCTGCTCAACTGTTGTTTGGTCATCGCAGTCACGTGGGCGAATTGCGGTCACGCATGACACGCCGTCGGGAAAGAGGTTCCGGACAAAAGGGCGCACACAAAAAAAAGAAGAGAAATAGAAAGGCGCTGCACTTTGGAGAGCATAGGCTGCAACGTTGGATTGCGGGCCGCAGCTGCCAATTCATCCTTGGAAGGTTCGCGAATGGCAAGCTGGAATGCCAAGGAAAAGCAATTGACTTGGCCTTGGTGCCTCTTGCCAGCACAGTCTGTCGCCCAAGGCTGTGGGCAAAACGTCAAACCAACGGTGGAAGTTGCCAAGAAAGTTGTTAGGCTTTGGAAGGCGAGCAATCAAAAGGTCGAAGCTGCCGCGGAGGGTTTGATGGTTTGAAGGCTGGCAAACGGCAAGCTTGAACGCGTTTAAAAACAGATGGCCCTTAAAAAGAGATGGCTGTGTGAGTAATAGGTCCAGGTTGCCGCGGACGGTTTTAGGGGCTTGAAGCATGGCAAACGGCAAGCTTGAACGCCGTTAAAAAGAGATGGCTTTGGCCGGAGCGTGTCCTTGGACGCCCTTACAAACAGATGGCTGTGGCATTGAGCAACCGGTCGAAGATGTCGAAGCTGCCGCGGAGTGTTTGGGAAGCCTAGCAAACGGAATGCTTGAACCCTTAACAACAGACGGCTGTGGCCTGAGTGCCTGGTCGAAGCTGCCGCGGTGGGTTTTAGGGGCGTCCTTGAAGGCCCGTAAAAAGAGATGGCTGTGGCTTGAGTATCTGCGCGAAGCTGCCACGGAGCGTTTTTTAGGGGTTTGAAGCGTGGCAAGCGGCATGCTTGAACGCCCCGTAACAACAGAGAGCTGTGGCCTGAGTGCCTGGTCGAAGCTGCCGCGGGCGGAAGCTGCCGCGGAGCGTTTTACGGGTTTGAGGCCTGGCAAACGGCAGGCTTGAACGCCCCGTAACAACAGAGGGCCGTGGCCTGCCGCGGAGAGTCTTAGGGGCGGAAGCTGCCGCGAAGCGTTTTACGGATTTGAGGCCTGGCAAACGGCAGGCTTGAACGCCCCGCAACAACAGAGGGCCGTGGCCTGAGTGCCTGGTCAAAGCTGCGGCGGAGCGCTTTACAAGTTTGAGGCCTTGCAAACGGCAAGCTTGAACGCCCCGTAAGTGCCTGGTCGAAGCTGGCTCGGAGACTTTTAGGGGCGGAAGGGCCGTGGCGTGAGTGCCTGGTCGAAGTTAACGGCAGGCTTGAATGCCCCGTAACAACAGAGGGGCGTGGCCTGACTGCCTAGTCAAAGCTGCCGCGAAGAGTCTTAGGGGCGGAAGATGCCGCGGAGCGTTTTACGATGTTTTACGGGTTTGAGGCTTGGCAGATGGCAGGCTTGAACTCCCCGTAACAACATGTAACAACAGAGGGCCGTGGCCTGAGTGCCTGGTCGAAGCTGCGGCGGAGCGTTTTACAAGTTTGAGGCCTGGCAAACGGCAGGCTTGAACGCCTTGTAAGTGCCTGCAGCTGCCGCGGAGAGTCTTAGGGGCGGAAGCTGCCGCGGAGCGATTTACGGGTTTGAGGTGTGGCAAACGGCACGCTTGAATGCCCCGTAAGAACAGAGGGCCGTGGCCTGAGTGCCTGGTCGAAGCTGCCGCGGAAAGTTTTAGGGGCGGAAGCTGCTGCAGAACGTTTTACGGGTTTGAGGCTTGGCAGACGGCCTGACTGAGTGCCTTGTCGAAGCTGCGGCGGAGCGTTTTACGGGTTTGATGCCTGGCAAACGGCAGGCTTGAACGCCCCGTAAGTGCCTGGTCGAAGCTGCCGCCGCGGAGAGTCTTAGGGGCGGAAGCTGCTGCGGAGCGTTTTACGGATTTGAGGCCTGGCAAACGGCAGGCTTGAATGCCCCGTAAGAACAGAGGGCCGTGGCCTGAGTGCCTGGTCGAAGCTGCCGCGGAGAGTTATAATAGGGGTGGAAGCTGCCGCGGAGCGTTTTACGGGTTTGAGGCCTGGCAGACGGATGCAGACGGCAGGCTTGAACGCCCCGTAACAACAGAGGGCCGTGGCTTGAGTGCCTGGTCAAAGCTGCGACGGAGCGTTTTACAAGTTTGAGGCCTCAAACGGCAGGCTTGAACGCCCCGTAAGTGCCTGGTCGAAGCTGCCGCGGAGAGTCTTAGGGGCGGAAGCTGCCGCGGAGCGTTTTACCGGTTTGAGGCGTGGCAAACGGCAGGCTTGAATGCCCCGTAAGAACAGAGGGCCGTGGCCTGAGTGCCTGGTCGAAGCTGCCGCGGAGAGTTATAATAGGGGCGGAAGCTGCCGCAGAACGTTTTACGCGTAACAACAGAGGGCCGTGGCCCGAGTGCCTGGTCGAAGCTGCCGCGGCGAGTTTTAGGGGCGGAAGCTGCCCCGGAGCGTGTTAAAGGTTTGAAGCCTGGCAAACGGCAGGCTTGAACGCCCTTAACAACAGAGGGCTGTGGCCTGAGTGCCTGGTCGAAGCTGCCGCGAAGCATTTGACAGTTTGAAGGCTGGCAAACGGCAGGCTTGAACGCCCTAACAGCAGATGGCTATGGAGTGCCTGGTGCAAGCTGCCGCGGAGCGTTGTAGATGTTGTATAGGGGTTTGAAGGCAAGCCGACAAAAACAAATTCCACACCTGCGGTGGTCCCAGGCGCCGCCCCTGCCTTGGTGAAGGCAGGGGTCGGCGGATATCATTGTATATCTATCCATGGACTTACTTCTTTGCCACGTTTTTGGAGGCATTGGTCACTTGCGTTAATTATTTTGCGTAATTGTGCATTTTTTTGTTGTGCTCCCGAGCTTATCATATTTACCTTTCCACCAGCAACGCCGCCTTTGGTTCATTCAGATGGTAACAAACATTGGACCTGTCAGGCGGGGCATACCACCTTTAAATGACCGCAATGCCTTTGCAATGGTTTGATGAACAAACTCTCAGAACATCTCACATCCCATTGCTTGCTCGCTTGCTTAATTTTTGAAGGGAATGCGCGCAGAATGCCCGTGAACTTTTCGCGTGTATTGCTTTCAGCGGCAGCATCACAATCCCCCATAAACAGTCCGGAGCAGCTGAGCATCGGACAAATGCCCATTTCTTCATTCTCAATTTCTATTTCATGTTGCTGGATGTTGCCGCATGTTCCTGCAAACTATCTTCTGGGATTCTGAGGCGCCCAAGAAACTGGGTGGCTTACAGTCTATCGCGTCCCATCGCTAGTGGTGGGAAAAAAAGTTCCTCTGAAGTGAGGTATGACAGCCTGTCAGTGCCAACCGCCACGCCTCCTGCCGACATCTATCATCTATCCTAAAGCGTTCAAACACGTTAATCGATATTTGCAATGGATGTGAAGGTTCAAAAACAAATATGTGCCCTTGTACAACTTGTACTTTCAGATTGTAATGTGAAGGGAAAACTGATTTGGTCCAGATGTAAGATGATGTAAGACAGCGCTTTCTTTCAGGAAGATATGTTCCACCGTTCATGAGGGGACTTCCCCTTGTGTGACAGGATGACACAGCCAGTGATCAAGGTTTGCGTGGAGTCGAGAGCTGAGAGGTGAAGTCAAAGTCCACGCGTTCAGTGCGTTCAGACATGTTCAACATGTCCAAAGGCCACCGGTCGCCAGCACTGCCACACCAACACCGGGTTCTGAACGCTGGGACCTCTTAGTAAGTTTCGGTGGATCATGGTGGATGTCATGGTGGATGACGGTGGCAGAGATTTACCAATCACTGCGGGCCATCAACAATTATCATATTACCTGTACCTCACACTGGTCCATGACAGCAGTGATTTTCCACTATGGGCCAACTATGTGTCAGCATGCGTCAGGAAAACTGTCATCGTTTTTCAGACATGTTCAAGATTCAATCTGTCCATTCAATGCAGTCAGCAAAGTAGTCCTTCTTCAGGCTCCCTTGACCGCAGCACGCCAGAGGACCAGTTTGTCAGCAAATGCCAGCAACATGTTTCCCGTACGATTGTCTTTGTTGTTTGTTGTTGCTGCAGCGCTTGTATAGACATAGACATTCATAGACGCTTTTCTTGGGTTGCTTGGGGTGCTGTTTGCTCTGAAAGTCAAAGTTCAAATTCATTTGGCATCATTTGGCGTTGCCGACAATGATGTTTCAGCTGAGACCTGCTCATATTCATCAACGCCTTCTATTTTGCACATGTCCATATTGACAAACGGTGTGAATCATTTGTTGCCAGTGTCGTCACGGTCATCACTAGCACTACCATTCCAGACCCAGCCAGCCATCTCTGATTCTACATCCTCGTCCAGTGAGCGGCTATACAATCTATAATATATTGATTTGGAAAATACGTTGGTAAAGACAAAGTCAAAGTACAGTACATAAAGATTGGGAAATGGCAGAGCCACAAGTTCCATCCGAAGATTCCGCGGATTAAAGTGATGTATATTGGGCTGGACAGTGCAGTACGCGAGCGCGCTCGTTGCCATGAATTCAGTACTAAATGGCAAACGTTGCAATATATAGCACAGGTAAGGGCATGTAGTTTGTGGATGTTTTCAGGCATGTTGGTACTCGTAGCAAGAGTATGAATTGTAGCTATTCCAATGTGAAGCCTTTGGCTGACTTGCCGTCGAGAATTTCATTCTGCATAGGGTTGCCAGCACTGGTGGGAACAACAGCAAGCTTCTATATATATAATCATATATATATATAATTATATAATTATATATATATACCATATATTATAATTATAATATATATATATGTACTGCAGATGTTCAGGTTATTTCAGGTACATTCCAATTCTTCAGATTTGTTTTGTTCTTTGCTGCTTTGCACAGCCATGCCTTCAGCGATGTGGGTTGGCGGTGTGCTCGCAGCTGCTGCAAGCTTTGCTCTTCCGAGCCTTCCTTCAACTGTCACAAGTCACGAGTCCTCTTTTTGTTCTATGCGCAGAGTAATTATGATCTATACCTAAGTGACCCTAAGTCTGTGCATCTTTTGGCAGCCTTATTTTAGAGATGCTCTTGAGCTTGGCAATGCTCACCAAAAATCCAACTGTGGAATGGCACAGCAAAACGTTGTGCGGCGTGTGTATCTTGTGTATGTGGCTATGTCCTTCAAGTCCTTCACTTGTTTGTATATTTTTCTCCAAGGAGCTATTGGCACTTTGCCCTGGGGCGCAACAGCAATCTGAGGCTCTACTCAAGGAGCGGTAAAGAAAAATATAGCATCAACCATGGAATAAAGAATGCACAAGCAAAACTAACACAGGCTTGTGTAACAGAGTACAGCTGTGGGTGTCTAGAAATTGCTAGATTTTGCCGGAGGACTTTGGAACACGTCAGACAAAAGCTTCCAGAGGATGCAGAAGAGGCTTTTGCAAGCTGTGAGTTGGGCAGCGCATCATCCAATCATTCCAGATAAATCCAAATACATCGTGCACGGGGTCATGCCACCAAACACATGGATCATGTGGGTTAATTACATACGTTTCGGATTGAGGTGTTGAAGCTATCTCCAGGGTGACCACAGGCAAAAAATACCCACAAAATACATTAATATGCAACAATGAAAAGCGTGAAGTGTTCCAGTCGCTCTTTAGGCCTTAGCTGCTGGTGAGGCGCGGGCCGAGGAGGCTGGTTAGTGCTCCTTTCTCAGATTTATGTGTATACAGAAGAGTATGAAAATGAAAAATGATAAACATGTCTATAATTGCATTTAAGTGCATAGAATGTAAAAAAAAATGTTGGCGTATATATATATAGGTATATATGTCTGTAGATATATATACATATATATATATATGTATATATGTGTGTGTTTGGTGGATTGCATATATGCATATACATATCACACAATATGTCAATATGTATGCGAGCAAGGGCACGAACACACTTACCTGTAGTCACACATGTATATATGTATGATTACGTATGCCAAAGATAGATGTGACATAACGTAGTATACTATAATAACATGATATGATTTGATATGATCATATATATATATACAATGTAATACATGTACATAGAGGTGTCTAAGATTGTTGAAGTATATATCAAGTTTGAATCAATGAAAAGTTTGGCCCTTAACCTTAAGCCCGCGCAGCGAGGCAATTGACCAGGCCATAGTTGAGCACGTATACCGACCTGGTAGATTCTTCGGCCTATCGCTGCACTTTGCCTTGACGGAAGGATTGCGTTGTTGCATTTGTATATGCATTTGTTTTTTCTCACAGCCACAGGCATTACATGAATTATTTCACAGTTGCTTCTTCCGGAGTTCACAATGTAACGGCTTCGTGAACAAAGTCCTACTCCACATTCCGAGGCTACACAATGCAGTCAGCCCAGAAGTCGTGACGCGTGCCTGAATCAAAAGCATGTTCCTTGAAACATGGTTTTGGGATGTTTTGGGATGCTTACATGTTTTTTCAAGGCCTGTTCAGCAGAATAGCCATGTGCAGCTTGCTCAGCACGTGTAAAGTCCAGGAAGATGCTGCGGGCCGATGGTCTAAAGCTGCATAGCAAGGGCCGGCTGACACCATCAGGCACGGAGATCTCAGTAGATTCCTGTTTGCTCATTCATTCAATTATAATTATAATTAATATATTCGTTGCCATCCATCCACTCATTCACTGACCCATGCATCGATTCATTCAGGCCTTCATCCATTAATGTTCCCAAGGAATCCCAAGGATAAGAGATGATTGATAAGAGGAGCTAGAAAGGCATTAAGTTGACAGAATTGCATATAATCAAATTACATTGGCTGATTAACATGTTGTAGAGCCTTGGGCCAACAGGTGATCCAGACGAACCACAATTGTCACTTGGTGAAACTCGACGTCGAAGTATCGCGTATGCGGACTAGATGCTACGGAGGACAGTAGTTGCTGACGTGGCACAAGGCCAGTGTTCAACTAAGGTCAGAGCAGTACAAGTGACTTGGCAGATCTTTCGACTTGACAATATTAGAGAGCATTGCATTGCATCTTGCCCGGTCGAGGAACATTGTCCTGTGCTAAACCGAGCAAGCAGTTGCACGGCACGCCATTGCGATGCAATTGTGCCAAGCACACGAGGAAGTATTTGGGCAACCTGCCAGTGCTGACTATCCTAACTCCACAGCAAGCAGCAGCTGAAGGCCTTCTGGGCATGGCGTATGGTGGTGCTTTTCTCAGCGGCTGCTTGTCAGACCAGCAAGACAGGAATGTGAAACGCAGAATTATTTGCCCATGTGACCCTGACTCATCTGACTCTGCTTTGTGATGCGCGCACATTAAGATCCTGAAAGATCATTAGAGATATCATGAGATACCCCATTTTGTGCGTGCAGAACTATGATATAATCATGCCTTCTAATTACATGCTTTGGTCAAAGGTGAATAGTGACTAATCGTGCTTTCAAAAAGCTTTCAAAAACGGAAGTCACGGCGGTGACTCAGCAATGATTGCATAGTGGGTAAATTTAATGTGTATACACTATACACACATATAATCCCCCTGCCTATTTCCTCTACAAACTTCGTGTGTCGACACCTAGAAACTAGAGCATGTTGTAGAGGAAGTTTCCTCTACAATGTTCAAATCTGGTAGCCAAAAATAGGGGGATACATACGTACATACCATACCATACCACACCACACCATACCATACCACACATACACACATACGCACATACACACATACACACATACACACATACACACAGACACACACACACACATACACACATACACACATACACACATACACCCATACACGCATACACGCATACACGCATCCACGCAGACACACAGACACACAGACACACAGACACACATACACACACACACATACATACATACATACATACATACACACATACACACATACACACATACACACATACACACATACACACATACACACATACACACATACACATATACACATATACACATACACATACACATACACATACACATACACATATACATACATACACATACACATACATACATACACACACATACATACATACATACATACACATACATACACATACATACACATACATACACATACATACACATACATACACATACATACACATACATACACACACAGACATACGCCCGTTCTGGTTGCCCAGTTGGCCGGTTGACCGTGGCCCGGTAACCCGTTCCGGTTGCCCGGTTGGCCGGCTGACCGTGGCCCGGTTGCCCTTTTCCGGTTGCCCGGTCGGCCGGGTGACCGTGGCCCGGTCGACCGGGACGGTCAGCCACGGTTGCCCGGTCACGGTTGAAATTCTCCCAGACCGCCCTTCTGTGCCTGCCATGGAAAATGCATCTTTGCAGATCCTCTTCAAACGTCCCACGCCTGCCATCGTTTTTTGGGAATGCTACCCACCCTCACGTTTTTACTCACTTTTGAGAAGGTGCACAAGCCCTTGCGCCTGCCACACGGAACGACATCTGAACGTCCACAAGTGATCCGAGCATGCGGTGCGTTTAACATTTTTTGATTTGGAAATGTGCTTCGCGCCACAACGGCGTCCACTTTTTCGACATGTCAACTTCCAAAAGTGGTTCGGGCATGGTGTGCTTTGTACATTTTGACTTCCAAATGTGCTTCGCACCACACCGGCGTGCACTTTTTCGACATGACAACTTCCAAAAGTGGTCCGAACATGGTGTGCTTCGTACATTTTGAATGGGAAACGTGCTTCGCGCCACAACGGCGCGCACTTTTTCGACATCACAACTTCCAAAGTGGTCCGAACATGGTATGCTTTGTACATTTTGACTTGGAAACGTGCTTCGCGCCACAATGGCGTGCAACTTTTCATCTCTCATCTGACCACGCGGCTCCGCACCCGCCGCTTTAGCGAGCCTACTTTTCGACCCTCCGGAGCCCCAAACCATTGGAAAAACACAGTGTTTCGCAACTTTCCTACCTTTTCGCGTTCTTTCTTCTGATGCTTTCTCTTGTTTGATCTTCTTTCTTCTTCTCTCTTCTCTTCTCTGACTCTTCCCATCTCTGCTTTTCATCTGTCCATATTGTCGGAAGTTTGACTTTTAAATTTCCTTCGGTTCGGGGGTATTTAATATTCGGGGGAAGCTGGCTCCTAATATTAAATTTAAAACCTCAATTTAAAAAACCATATATTTTCGATTTCAAAATCAATTAAATTCTCTTTTAAAATCCAATTAAAATATTGGCCGAACATTAGATTTCGAAGCCTTCCCCTAATATTAAATTTAAAACCTTAATTTAAAAGAATTAGAATTTTCGAATTCAAAATCGATTAAATTCCTTCTCAATATCTAACTAAAATATTGCCAAACATTGGATTTCGAAGCTTTCCCCCCTAATATCAAATTCAAATTAAAAGCCTTAATTTAAGAAATTCAAAAAAAAAAACTGACATTTTAACAACTGGGCCCTAATAAAAAGCATCCCCGGGCTAACTAGTTTTTATTATTAAGAGGGAGGAACCTTCAAATGGATTCTAAAGGGGATCAAGTAAAAGTCAAATTGACCAATCTGAAATTTCCCAGAACAAATAACAACTGGGGTAGTTTGTTTTTTTCAGGGGAGGTTTAGTAATAGGGAGAAGGGGGTATACATACATATACGTACATATACACACATATACATACATACTTACACAAATATGCAACCTGTCAGGAGTCTAAGGGGAGAGGGTTGGAGTAGCTAGTCATGAGGAAAAACTTTTGTCCTGTTTTTGTATGTATGTATAATGTACGTGTATGGATGACATGCCGGATCGCGGATCTCTTCCCCCTGATGTATACATACATTTACATTCATGTACATACATATACATACATATACATACGCATACATACAAATGCATACAAATACAATTACATTTATACATTTACATATACATGTACATGTACATTTTACATCTACATTTACATACACATACACATACACAGACACACACACATACACACACATACACACACATACATACACACATATACACATACACACAGCATGCATGTATGCATGCATGCATGCAAACATTCATTCATGCATACATACATAATCCCTTCGCCCCAATTTAAAACGTCCCCTAAATAATAAAACCTATAATTAAAAACTAAAATTTCCGATTTCAAAATCAATAAAATTCGCTTTGAAAGCCTAATTAAAATATTGCCAAAAATTGGATTTCGAAGCTTCCCCCCCTAATACTAAATTTCAAACGTGTTAGAACCATAATATGTAAAACTGTTTTTTCTATTTCAACACCAATTAGGTTTCCTTTTAAAATGTAATTAAAATATTGCCAAAAATTGGATTTCGAAGCTTCCCCCCCGAATATTAAACTTATAACCTTAATTAAAAAAACACAAATTTTCGATTTCAAAATCGATTACATCCTTTTTCAAAATCTAATTAAATTGCCAAAATTTGGATTTCGAAGCTTTCCTCTAATATCAATTTTACAACCTTATTTTTTTAAAAAAAAAACTACCTTCAGAAATTAATCCAAGTGGACCGCTGGTTATCCAATTTTTTTGTAAATTAATTTTGATTTGGGCGTGTTGTTTCGAGAACTCTATTATTTGAGGATTAATTTAAGTTAGGGGTACCCAAACTAATTTAGCCTGAATGCCTGAGAATGAGAGTGGGGCCGCCTCGAATTAATTTGGCAATGTTTCGTCAAACAGCTCATGCCAGCTCAATCAAACTTGGATTATTAATGACGCTAAGTCTACCTGGGTGGCATTTACAAGGAAGATCAAGGAAGAAAATGCGTTTGGAAAAGAATTTTATTGATTGTTTTGCAAATGAATTCGAAAAATTTTTTAGAACCATTGCGAACAAAGAAACATGTAATTGATTTCTCAAATCACCAACCATTGTTTTCCTTCCACCCAGCTTGCGTGGACACGCGTAAAATTAATTTGCGGGTGGATGTGCTAGTACTTGTAATGACACTAAATCCAGCTGGGTGGCGTTTACAAGTAAGAAGATGCGTTTGGAACAAAATCTTATCGATTGTGTGCAATGAGAATTGAACACCCGTTTAAAAACATCACGAATAAAGAAACACGCAATCCATTTCTTTTTGCGCCAACAAAGTTTTTCCTTTTTCCATTTAGGTGGTGGGAAGAGAACCATTTATTACATCTACGGGGGGGAAGTGCCGCCGAACAAATTAATAGAGGTACCTTGAAGAAGTAAGGACCCTTGGATTAATACTTTTATTAATGTAGGTGGGGGACCACTCTGGAGTCTCGGATGGTAGGGGTTATTAAAAAAAACTTTCAAAACTGACATTTTCGAATTCATCAACCGGGCACATGCATACATACATACATACATATTTACATACACATACATACACATACATACACATACATATACATACATACATACATACACATACATACACATACATACACATACATACACATACATACACGTACATACACGTACAGACACGTACAGACACATACAGACACATACATACACATACATACACATACATACACATACATACACATACATACACATACATACACATACATACACATACATACACATACATACACATACATACACATACATACACATACATACACATACATACAAATACATACACATACATACACATACATATACATACATATACATACATACACATACATACACATACATACACATACATACACATACATACACACATACATACTACATACATACACATACATACACATACATACACATACATACACATACATACCACATACATACACATACATACACATACATACACATACATACATACATACACATACATACACATACATACACATACATACACATACATACACATACATACACATACATACACATACATACACATACATACAACATACATACAACATACATACATACATACATACACATACATACATACACATACATACACATACATACACATACATACACATACATACACATACATACACATACATACACATACACACACATACACACATATACACACATACACATACATACACATACATACACATACATACACATACATACACATACATACACATACATACACATACATACACATACATACACATACATACACATACATCAACATACATACACATACATACACATACATACACATACATACACATACATACACATACATACACATACATACACACATACATACACGTACATACATACACATACATACATACATACATACATACATACATACATACATACATACATACACATACATACACATACATACACATACATACACATACATACACATACATACACATACATACACCTACATACACCTACATACACCTACATACACATACATACACATACATACACATACATACACATACATACACATACATACACATACATACACATACATACATACATACATACATACATACATACATACATACATACATACATACATACATACATACATACATACACATATACATATACATATACATACTACATACATACACATACATACACATACATACACATACATACACATACATACACATACATACACATACATACACATACATACATACATACGCACATACATACATACATACACATACATACGCATACATACACATACATACACATACATACACATACATACACATACATACACATACACACATATACATACATATACATACATACACATACATACATACATACATACACATACATACACATACATACACATACATACACATACACATACATACACATACATACACATACATACACATACATCATACACATACATCATACATACATACATACATACATACATACATACATACATACATACACATACATACACATACATACACACACATACATACATACACATACATACACATACATACACATACATACACATACATACACATACATACACATACATACACATACATACACATACATACACATACATACACATACATACACATACATATACATACATACACATACATACACATACATACACATACAGGCATGAGTCTCCCTTGCACCTCGGATTGATGTATTGGCAAGTCTTAGCCGAAGAGCATCTAAGGACTGTGTTTGCGTTTGAGCAAACTTTCTGGAAACCCTTTGGCGCCGGGAACATTGCAGTGGCTTTGGATGGAAAATTTTACAAAATAATTTGACACCCTTTGCATGCACAGGCCATCAAGGCCCTAGGCACCTAGGCCTGAACCAAAAGCCCGACTAGTACGGCAGTCCTTTCGACTTGTCAGCTCACCTGGCTTCAGATTTTTTATGGGCAATTAGCTCCTCTTGTTTCAACGGGAGATTTCTTCCTTGTGTGAGTGATGCTTTGAATTTTGCACAATTTTGTTTGCGAATCTAGGTGTGTTTGGCCTACATGGGACTGAAGCTATGTGCTAAAAAGTTGATTGGAATTTTTTGTGTAGGGCAGGCTGCCAAGAAAGCAATTATGGCCAAAGTATGTCAAAGTTTGTTAGACTGTTATGGTTCAGCCGGTGCCAAGGCTGGCCTGCTATGACGGGGAGGGCGTGTCCTACCAGGTTCATGAGGCAGGACGGTGGCGAACATTGCTGCATCGTCCTTTACTTTTCTTGATGTCATGTGAAAAGAATGCTAGCTGCACAGGACTATGTTCCCAAGGGCGATTATGATCCAGAAAACTTACCAGAACACCATCGCGAATCCTACAAGAGACGAATCACAGCGATTCTGTGTCTCAGCTCTGTTCTCTATTAGTGCCTCGATTCCTCCACCACAACTTCACCTGTATTCATGGATATTCATTGCATTTCAAAAGGGAACTGCTGAGTGTTGCACACTGATTGCCCGTTTTCAAGCCCCAACTTGCCGCTCATTCAGATGTTCAATTTCAACATACTCAACCTATTTCACACATTTCATGGCATATTCAGGGCATATTTTTTAGGGACTTTAGGGCATATTCTTCAGGGCATATTCAGGAATTCAGGGCATACTTTGCACTTGAGGTACTTGCAGGATGACTGGGACAAAGAGTTTGGTGGCGCGTTTCGAGCACATGCAGTTCGGCCAAAGACAGCAGCACGGCAGAATTTGTTGAGTTGCAACTGCAACTACCAGATTTCAGCGCAGTTTAGCACAACCATATCTGCAAACAGCATACAGCAACAGGTAAGAGTCCGGTAAGTGAGGTCTTTCTTAGTGCTGACTTAGCACAGAGCGTGGTCAATCGCACTAGTGCGTCCTCTTTCAGCAAAGGATCAGCCAAATCCAGAGGATTTTGTTGATGTCATGCCAGCGACATGGAAGCACTGGCGAGTGAATGCCAAAACAACGGGTCCTGGTTCGCTAGTTGTTGATTTGAGTGCAGGTGCTACTTGTTGGTACTCAGATTTGGCCACGGATTGATAGTGAGAATTTAAGCGAACATTTTGCTTTTATCATGTACAAACTCTCAGTGCAGTGCTTAGTTGCGTAATCAAAACGGATCTCGATAATTTGTGTTTGTGTGTGCTGCTGAAATCTGCTGGATGTGGGCAACTTGATGCAACTTGCACACGTTGGTCCTCAGGACGGCGGGTCATTGGTGATGTTCCGCTCGGACATGCCACATGAAGTGCTACCAACCTTTGGCCAACGGTTTGCGTTATCGATGTGGTGCCATGACGATTCGTGACGATTCGTGAAAAGATCCGGACATCCTTGCGGCAGTTGAGCAGAGGTGAAGTCCAGGCTAGTGTTTTGTTTGCAGAGTCTGAACGGAAGCGGAAGATACATTTCTATCATTTCTTGCAGATTCTTGCAGGCCATTGTGTTTTAGATTGCTTTCCAAGTAGCTGTGGCGAGACAACCGTAAAATGATGCAAAGGATCACAAAAGTACTCACAAAACAGTATTGTATGTGCTTTGGGCTCCTGGGAAATGAATGAAAACGACGGGATTTGTTATGTTCTGTTGATCGAATTGGAGTTGGAAGCCAAAGGACTCCTGGTTGACAACTGGTGTGCACAGCGGATACTAGTATATCAGTCATATTCAATCATGATAATCATAATATATCATCACATATCAATATATATATATATATATTTTTTAAGTCCATTCCTGAAGTCATCATTCTGCACCATTGGTGGAAGCCCATTTGCTTGGGGTTGGCGAATCTTCCCGATGGCGTTAGCGGTGAGCGCTTTGGGTACCTTGCTCACGGCAGAGGACCCGGAGGTGATTCCCCGTTCATGAAGTTCATGCAGTGTGTCAAATCTTGGCTAATCAATCTGGGCTACGCTTCTACACGTAAATGATCCTTTCCATATGTTTCTTTTATTTGTCGTTCCTCTTGTGGGCAGGGTGACGCAGCATGACATGATAACCATGCATATTGACATATATTGACATACATAAGTTTTCTGCTTGCCGTGGTTGGGACGGCTGCCAGGCCGTCATTCCTTGCATCCTGCAGGAATGCTTCAGAGTTCCCGTGGTCAGCGATCATATGCCGCAGACTTTTCGAGTGAAGGGGGCCCAAAATGTGGAGGTTATGTCCTGGAACGTCATGTCAAGAGGCTGGGCGGCAACACTTCGATTCTTGCCTTTTATCAAGACAAGATGAATGCGACGAGAGATATGTATATAATATATATATATATAGTGGTTTAAGCATGCTTAAGCATGCTTAGGCCATGTCACAGCAAATAGTTGAACAGTTGTAGCTTTTGCTCACGAGTTCTGATTCTAGTGCAGCATACAAGGTTTGTGCGCGTCTGGTATTTTCTGGCTCTGATATGCCATGTTCATGTTCTCAATTGATATTGGCAAATCATACGATAATATATGTAAAGATATGCGCATGTTTGATCATATTTGCACATCGATCCCTGTGTGCATATGCACAAACAACATCAAACAACGGGTTATGTTCTCTATTGATTCTATGAATTCTATGCGATAATGTCATATGTTTTATGTGTTTCCATATTTTCCGGTATGCTCTACGAACCATAGGCTTTTACCCGGTGGAAAACAGGTGTGGACGGACGTACAAGGAATTTGACCACCATTGAACTGGATCCAACTCCATCCAGGTAGAGCTGGGAACACTGGTCGTGCAGGAACTGCCCTGGAAGGAAAAGTACTGACAAACAATGGCTTGGACTGCCACGTGGCAAACAGATCACCCTGTTTATAGTTTATATACCCTGTTGTACTCTGTTACTTTCGCCAAACGGAAAATGAGTTTTCTATAGTTTTCTCATGTTTTTTGTTTGTTTGCATGGCTCGAAAGCTGTGAGCAGGACTGAGTCCCTCTTTTTATGTGGCATGACTTTGTGTGAATTTATCATATTTGTCATATGGTCGCCGGGTTTGCCTGAGGTGATGAGACTCCTGCAGACTACGAGCAGCGTTTGAAAGAACGAATGCTGCCCGTCCTTGCAGGTTGGATGGGTTCATCCAATGACTGTATGCGAGTTGCATGCCCCTTGGCTTTCCAATGCTTTCCAGCTAGGAAGACTACTTAAAAGTCTGTAAAGATCTGTAAAGACTTGACACTTCCAGTGGTCACCCATGCTAAGGCATGCAGGAATTTCCTGTGCAGCCTTTGCTGCAGCAGGAGAGAGGGTAGCGATGGCTGGCTGGTGCATACGTTTATAATCGTTTATACAATACTTTTTTTACTTGCATTGCTCATCATTACACTGGAATACGTGCCCACGTTTGTACAAGCATGTCATACAATGTCATGCATGTGTGAAGGTATGGATTCACACATTCGCACCAATCAACCGATGTACAAGCTTGAATATAGAATATAATCATAGACACAGGGTGACACAGGCATCTCTCCTTCTCCCTCCCTCTCTCCATACATTCACATGTATATTTCATATTTCACATTTACATATTGGTTTGCAGTCACCAGCTCAACTGCACACCTGCATTCCAAACTGAACCAGGCCTGAGGTACTCGGATCATTCATACACACAATATCACACAATCAAAGCATACATACACAGGCATGCAGAAGAAGATGCCTTAAAGGACTCAAAAAGCGCTGCACTTGTTACATTTGAAGTAACAGAAGTTGAAGCGAGGTGCTATCCCACGGTTTCCAGATGCCTTGGCCGCCCTTGGCCTTTGATTATCCATTGGTTCTCACCCTTGATATTTGACATTCTTTGACACCCTTGATTTGCCACGGTTATGCCACAATTTTATATCATTTTAGGCCCAGTTTCAGAACGTTGAACATGCTGACTTTTTGGCTATTTAGAATGACTTTTGAAATGACTATACCATCATGATCTTTGATGATCTTTGCACTGACGTCATGAGGAGCTCCTCTCTGAGCTGCGTAGCAAAGCCTCGCAGCAAACACTGCAGATGGCTGTCAGCAGTGCATGGGAGGAGCCCGTTTGTGTCAGACTGTCCTGTATTGTGATCACGTGGACGTAGCTGTCCAATTTGCAGGCAGATCCACTGACAAATTATGACAAATTCCAAACTGTTTTTTCATTTTTCTATCTTATACATTTCTTATAGATTTCTTATAGATTTCTTATAGATTCGGAACACTTCTGACGATGAGTCTATGATGGGGCCCGAAATGCCGGAGGCTGAGCAACTCGTTGGCCACTGCAATGCTGTCGTTCCTCGGAAACGAGTAGCATCTCTGCATAGCTGACGACAAATATGGCAAATTCAATTGGTTCCCAATTGGTTCGCGTTAATTATGTAAGATTGACATCGGCATCCTTGCGACATTCACACTTGACACCAGAGGTCAAATGTTTGTACAAACCATCAATGACTATCAATGCCTAGGTTTGGGACAGCTCCGGGTACATCGAGCCGCCGTCCCAGGCGGCTCCTCTATTGCAGGGATTGTGCTCTTCTATATGTTTTATTATGTTTTATATTGTGTCAAATAGTTTTTTTTAATATTGTTTAATATTGTTTTAGATGTTGAATTCTTTGAATGATTTTGATGTGAAGATTGCATCTAGCCACCACGGGATAGAGAGAGAGAGAGAGGGCCGTCCTGCAGGTACCCATGGGATCGAAAGCATTGCGGCTCATCCTGACAAGCGAGTCAGGTACATTTGACTTGATGAGTGCCTCGACTTGAGAAAATGATTCAAATGATTCAACACATGGTATGGCCTGGTATGGCTTGTACGCCATGATTTCGCGATCGAATTTTGTGCTGCAAGTGCCTTGCCGCCCCTGAGGTTTTCACTTGCCATTTGTGGATTCACCAGGGGGCATCCGATATAGCAACAAGGCATAACAAGGCATCATGTCCCTGACAGGAATGGCTGCACTGCGTTGTGGAATTGCGATGCCTTTGTAGATTCTGGCTCTATTTTCGGCCAAGGACCCAAGGGGAAATGAGGATGCCTTTCAATATTTGCTTATGATTTTCCATGGTTATCATTTGAATTTAGACATGCACCCTTCAGCCCCTTCAGCATTTGAGTGACGTTTTTCCCTCAGTCGAGGGTGTTTGTTCAGTATAATGTTCACGGCAATTGGTTTGGCCAGGTTCGTAGACGTGCATCATATGCAGTGGTCAATTCACATACCAGTAGTACCGCACAAGGCGGTGGCGGAAGTTTCAAAAATATTCAAAAATAGGAAACCTAGAGGAGAGGTTGGTTGTTGTGAATCACGGATGGCAGTGTTTTCTGGAGTGGTTGCAATGGTTGCAGTGGTCACCTCACCACAGCTGCTGGATGTAGTGTGGTGTAGTGCAGTTGTAGTTGTACTGTAGTTGTACTTGTAGGTGTAGTTGGACTTGTAGGTGTAGTTGTAGTGTAGTGGAGTTGTAGTTTTGAGTTGTAGTTGTAATGTAGTGTAATTAGTGTAGTTGCAGTTGCAGTTGCAGTTGTGGTGTGGTGTAATTAGTGTAGTGTATTGTAGTGTACTGTAGCGTTGTGTACTGTAGCATGGTATAGTGTAGTGTAATCTAGTGTATTGTAGTGTAAAGTAGTGCAGCTAATTGCAGTTGTAGTTGTAGTGTAGTGCCGTGTAGTGCAATTTAGTGGTAGTTGCAGTTGTCGTGTAATGTAATGTAATTAGTGTAGTGTAGTGTTGTGTAATGCACTGTAGTTGTACTTGTAGTTGCATGCGTAGCTGTAACGTAATGCAGTTTGATTAGAGCTGTAATTGTAGTTGTAGCTGTGGTGGTGGTAGTGGTAGTGGTAGTGGTAGTCGTAGTGGTAGTGGTAGTGCTGGTAGTAGTAATGGTAGTGGTAGTGGTAGTTGCAGTTGCAGTAGTAAGAAGCAGTAGTAAGAAGTAGTAGTAAGAAGTAGTAGTAAGAAGTAGTAGTAGTAGTAGCAGTAGTAGTAGTAGTAGTGTAGAAGTAGTGTTGTAGTAGTAGTGTTGTAGTAGTAGTAGTAGTGTTGTAGTAGTGTAGTTGTAGTAGTAGTAGTAGTGTTAGTGTAGTAGTAGTAGTAGTAGTAGTAGTAGTAGTAGTGTTAGTGTAGTAGTAGTAGTAGTAGTAGTAGTATAGTAGTAGTATAGTAGTAGTATAGTAGTAGTATAGTAGTAGTAGTAGTAGTAGCAGTAGTAGTAGTAGTATTAGTAGTAGTTGTTGTTGTTGTTGCTGTTGTAGTAGTAGTCGTCGTCGTAGTAGTTGTTGTTGCTGTTGTTGTAGTAGTCGTGGTGGCGGTGGTAGTAGTAGTAGTAGTAGTGGTAGTCGTAGTAGTAGTAGTAGTAGTAGTAGTAGTAGTAGTTGCTGTTGCTGTTGCTGTTGCTGTTGCTGTTGTAGTAGTTGCTGTTGTAGTAGTTGCTGTTGTAGTAGTTGTAGTGTAATTTGTGTAGTGTAGTCTAATTATATAGATGTAATTAGCGTAGCGTAGTGTAATTATTGTTGTGTAATGTAACGTAGTATGCTTGTAGTTGTAGTAGTAGCGTAGTGCAGTGGTACTTGTAGTTGTAGTTGCAGCTGTAGTTGTCTCTCTATCTATCTGTCTATCTGCAAGCTTGAGAACGAAGCTATTCTGCGAGACTTCCTCAGTCGTTGAACTTGGCAACATCAAAACGCAGCAATTCAGCGAGACGTCCTTAATTTTTGAACTTGACAACGTCAAAAACGAAGCAATTCTGCGAGACTTCCTCATTTTTTGAAGTTGACAACATCAAAAACGAAGCAATTCTGCGAGACATCCTTCAAAAATGGAAAGTTGAGTGCAGAGCTAACGGTCTCGTACCAGTGCGTTTTTTGCGATTTTTCCACTCCATCTGTCTAAACTACTGCGTTTGCCACGAAAAAGTGATGCCAGGTCATACGAAGTGCTGCACCTGTCACGCAAAATGATCTCAGCAAACCTGAAGATCTGATGCTCCAAAATGCAACCCCTCTCAGGAAATCAGCGCCCGGACCTCCTAACAGCTCTGATGAACATGTCTCTTGTATTGCGCCCACCACGGAAAATGCATCTTTGCAGATCCTCTTCAAATGTCCCACGCCTGCCATCGTTTTTGGACATGCCACAAAACCCTCACGTTTTGCTCATTTTTGACACGGTGCACAATCCCTTGCGCCTGCCACGCGAAACAACATTTGAACGTCCAAGAGTGGTCCGAGCATGTGGTGCTTTTAACATGTGTGCTTCGAAATGTGCTTTGCGCCACAATGGTGTGCAATTTTTCGACATCTCAACTTCCAAAAGTGCTTTGATCCCGTCAGTTTTTTACACTTTTGACTTCGAAATGTGCTTCGCGCCACAACAGCGTGCACTTTTTCGACGTCACAACTTCCAAAAGTGGTCTGGACCTGGTGTGCTTTGTGCATTTTGACTTCGAAATGTGCTTTGCGCCACAACGGCGTGCACTTTTTCGACATCTCAACTTCCAAAAGTGCTTTGATCCCGTCAGTTTTTTACACTTTTGACTTCGAAACGTGCTTCGCGCAACCATGGCTTGCAACTTTTCATCTCTCATCTGGCCAGCTGGCTCCGCACCCGCCGCTTTAGCGAGCCTATTTTTCGACCCTCCGGAGCCACAAATCATTGGAAAAACATAGTCTTTCGCGACTTTCCTACCTTTTCGCGCACCTGGATCTTCTTTCTTCTGAGACTTTCTCTTTCTTCTTCTCTTCTCTTCTCGTCTCTGACTCTTCCCATCTCTGCTTTTCATCTGTCCATATTGTCGGAAGTTTGACTTCTAAACTTCCTTCGGTTATTAATATATGTAAATTATGTAAATATATACACATATGTCACACACACATAAATATTTATATATATGTAATGTAATGTAATGTAATGCAATGCAATGCAATGTAATGTAATGTAATGCAACGTAATGTAATGTAATGTAATGTAATGTATGTACGTATGTATGTATGTATGTATGTATGTATGTATGTATGTATGTATGTATATGTATGTATGTATGTATGTATGTATGTATGTATGTATGTATGTATGTATGTATGTATGTATGTATGTATGTATGTATGTATGTATGTATGTATGTATGTATGTATGTATGTATGTATGTGTATGTATGTGTATGTATGTGTATGTATGTGTATGTATGTGTATGGATGTGTATGTGTATGTATGTGTATGTATGTATGTATGTATGTATGTATGTATGTATGTATGTATGTATGTATGTATGTATGTATGTATGTATGGTAATGTAATGTAATTCATGTCATGTCATGTAGCGTAACGTGATGTAATGTAATGCAATGTATGTATGTATGTGTGTGTGTCATGTCATTTCATGTCAGATCATGTCATATCATATCATTCATAGAATGCAGGGGTGATGGGGTTGGAGGCGACCCCCCTGGTACTCTTATTGGCTCCTATTTGTTTACTGTACTCTTGTTTACTCTTACTTACTCTTAGGATAAGAGTTGAAATTGCCAAATGGTAAAAATAATGTGGGTTCAAACTATATACTTGGAGGGCCAAACCTAAACAGCCAACACAAACTCCAGGCCACCTGAAACCACAGACTTTTTTTGCACCTTGATTCAACTCAATTGAAATGTTTGAGTTCTTCCTATTTTTTGGAATCGCTCTTCTTGAGCTTCAATGTGCCATCTTTGCTCCCTTTGGTTTTTTGGTTTTCCTTTGGAAACACACTTTCGGGAGACATGGGTTCTTTGGATTTTGAATCATCAGTTTCCTTTTTCTTTCTGGGCCAGTTTTTGGAGATGAACTGCAAGTCAGTCATAGTGATCATCCTTATTTAGTCATGGAGTCTAACTGGCCATTAAAATAAATAATATATTCCAAACCAACATGTGGTTCTAACACCAGATTCAGTCTGATGTATATGGCCAAATCCAATACTATCATATAGTACAATCAATGTTAATCATAAGTGTTGAGTTGGTTTGAATTGCCGGTGATTTAAATTTAAAGGTTGGTGGTATCCCTGGACTAGAAAGATAGTCCAACAATAATGGGTTCCTCAACAAACAAACCTCAAAAGCCACAGAAAATGTGGCTGCGCATGGGTTGATGATTACAATTTCCATTAGGCAAAGGGTGAAGGGGGTCACTCCCCGAAAACCATGAGAGGGTATTCATTTTTGAAGGATTGGTATCCAAAAGTATCAAAAACTCGTGTTTTGAAGGGGGCCACTCCCCTAAAACCATGAGAAGATATTCATGTTTGAAGGATTGGTATCCAAAATTATCAAAAACTCGTGTTTTGAAGGGGGCCACTCCACTAAAACAATGAAAGGGTAGCCATATTTAAACCATATTATCGAAGGAAGTTTAGAAGTCAAACTTCCGACAGTATGGACAGATGAAAAGCAGAGCAGGGCAGAGGCAGAGAGAAGAGAAAGATTAGAAGAGAGAAGAGTAGAAGAGAAAGAGTCAGAAGAAAGAAGATGCAGATGCGCGAAAAGGTAGGAAAGTCACGAGACACAGTGTTTTTCCAATGATTTGTGGCTCCGGAGGGTCGAAAAGTAGGCTCGCTAAAGCGGCGGGCGCGGAGCCAGCTGGTCAGACGAGAGATGAAAAATTGCACGCCGTTGTGGTGCGAAGCACATTTCGAAGTCAAAATGTGCAAAACACACCATTCTCGGACCACTTTTGGAAGTTGAGATGTCGAAAAAGTGCACATCGTTGTGGCGCGAAGCACATTTCCAAGTCAATATGTACAAAAACACACCAGGTTCGGACCACTTTTGGAAGTTGAGATGTCGAAAAAGTGCACGCCGTTGTGGCGCGAAGCACATTTCGAAGTGAAAATGTACAAAACACCGCATGTTCGCGCCACTTTTGCAGGTTCAGATGT